CCCCGCCGCCCCGCGGGCCGGGAGCCCCGGGAGGCCGCCGGCTGCGCCCGCCAGCGCCCTGCCCCGCCCGCACGGACACCGCGCCGGCCAAGGTGAGAGCGGGCGGGGGGCGCCCCGGGCGGGGAGAGGGCGGCCGAGTGCTCTAGAGAGCCGGTCTGTGCGGGGCTGGCTGTCACAGCCTTTCTTCCCCTTCTTGTCTTTCTTCGAAGGTGATGGTAAGGGGACTGGCGGGAGCGTTCTGGAGGTGATGTTGTGTCATCTCTGTTAACCGAGGTTTGCCTTCGGTTCTGGGACTTTGGCCCTGAAGAGGCGTGGAAGAGATGGGGGGAGGAATGGCCACACGAGGGGGAAAAGGCAGCCCAAGTGTAAATGTGTCTAAGTCCTGCTGTTTCTTCTGCCTTTCCGGTAAGCCTCGGTGTACAGGGCAAGACCTCTGCAGGTAAAATGGCACAACCGGGAGCCCCTGTTCCTGCCTCCTGGCACTCTTAGTAGCCAAGCCACCTGCACTGATGTAGAGGGGAATTTATTCCCCGCTCTCCACCCCCCGGCTCGCGACAAGCCTTGCCCTTCTCACTGCTTTTTGTGTTTGGTTTTTTTTTTTCCCCTCCATGCTCTGCACATCCCAGGCCTCACTCCTGAACGGGAAATGACTGTGTGGCTGAACAATTCCAATGGCCTCAGGGCTAAAAAGCTGGGGGGTGAAACTGGTTATGAAGTGGAAAATGAGGTGGCCGCGGACAGGGAGTTGATTAATAGTACGGGATTTCTCCACTGAGTTTTGCCCGTACTGCTGACCCCTTTGGTGTTGATGCAGTGACACGGGAGGAAACCTCTCTCCCTTCATGTGTTACATTTATCACATTTCTACTGATTTTTTTATAGTAAGATGGTAGCTAAAAGTTAGACCAGTATTCAGGTCTGGTGTTCAGGCAGGGTCTGGTGCATATTACTGGCAGGTGCTCAGAACTGCAGTCCTCCTGTGCTGACTGAATCCCCTATGACAGCCTGGATAAACTGATTGCTGAGCTGAGGAGACGTTTGTATTTGAAATATGGAAATAGTGTTTCACTTGTCTTCTTTGTTTGCACTGAATGAACAAAGTGCAAACACTTTACTTGCATTTATATCTGCAACTGAAAGTCTTCATGTTGATTAATTGTTTTTATTCTTAAAGGGCATTTTAGATGGAAATATACAAAGTCTCTGAAGTGTTGTGAATTCTAGTCTGGATCCACCTACATCTGGGAAAACACTTGATCCTGGTCTAAAAACAAACAAACAAAAACCCCAAAGCTCAGAAAAACCTCAAAAACCCAAAAAACAACCATATGACATCTTGGTATAAATTTTAGCTTAATCAGAATTACAACTGGATATGGGCACTCCAAGTAAATATTTATTTTGTATATTACATTTAGTGTCAGAACTGTCTCTGATGTTGGTCGAAACAGACAGATATATGCATGAGACTTATAGTTTTGACTGCATTTAGCAGTTGGCGCAGTAGTTTTCCCCCCACTGAGTTCTAAGGACTTCGTAGCTCCCATTATCTTCACTGACAGTTTAATATGTTTGATGCTTAGAACTGAAAATCAAGTTGCTCTTTAAGAAGCAGCTGTATGCATTTAAGAATTAAGTTTTGAAAATCTCGGCTTGTTTGAACAAAGTGGCTGCTTCCTATTTTCCAAGTTCCTAAAGTAAGAGTTCTGCATCTGAAAATATCTGACTCCCAACTTATTCATATGCCTAGGGGAAAAAAGAACCAGTTTTATATAAATCTATAACCATAAATATATAAATATGGTTTAGATAACCATATAAATTCTTTATCTGATGTGAAAAGGACCAATATCTGGGAGAGGCAGGGGAATCAAAGAATGAAGTGAATAAAGACTGTTAAGAATTATGAAAAAAGGCACGTGAAATGGCAGATCCAATAGAAAGAATTTAAAGTCAGTCTATCAAAATAAAGTTGATACTGTAATTCAGAGAGTGAGACAAACTGCTTACATTGAGGAGAATGGGGGAGAAGGAACAATATATTTTAACAGTAAAAGAAATTTCAGAATAAATTTTGTAAATAAGTTATAATTTAGGGGTAAGTATCAGACGTGATACAAAATCTTTCTCTGAAAAAGCATAAGGTTTTTGCTAGAGGGGAAAAGCTGTAATTCTAGTCTCTAGCCTTCAGAAATAATTTGGTATGATGACACATGGGGAAGTTATTAGCTTAAGTGGAGGAGATGGGGGATTAATAGAAGAATGGTAAGATAGACAAATGACAAAAGAGAATGTGACAACACAGTGGTGAAGAAGGGTCTATTAGATGGTAGGTATTTTACTGGAAGAGTTGACTGACAGAGGGGATAAATCTAATGACTCAAAGTAAAATTGTGCGTTAGAAGTAGTAATAAAGTGGGCATAAAACCTGGAAGAGTACTCTTTAAAATCAGCAGAGGAGGAAAAGATATGGTTATACTAATCAATCACAGGGTAACCATGGGCCTGTTGAATTTTGCAATCAGAGTTGATAAGGTTGGAAGGGACCACAGTGGGTCATCTGGTCTGATCTCCCTGCTCAAGCAAGGTGATTCTATAGCACATTACACAGGATTGCATCCACATGGTTCTTCAATATCTCCAGTAGGGGAAACTCCACACAGTAAAGAAGTTTTTCCTCATGTCTAGATGGAACTTCCTGTGCATCAGTTTCTGCTCATTGTCTCTTGTCCTGTTGTGTGATACCACAATGGCCAGTAGTACAGAGAATATTGATCTTTTGGAGATCTGACTCAGACATGAGCTTTATTAATCTGTTCTAGTGCCATTGTAATTACCTTCCTGCACTCCAAAGTCTGGCATTTGCAAAGGAAAAGCCAACTGAGATTCTTCTGCTCCAGTTGTGTCAATTTGTCTGTGAATGTTGACCACCAGTATAATATGGTGGAAAGTGCTAAATGCCTTTACACAAGGCTTTGGTATGGGTGCATGCTGCCTTTCAGATGCAGTTGTGGTCGCCCATGGCTGTGAAGGGGAGGGAGAAAGATAAAACCTGGCCCTTTTATATGATGTGGTCTGAAGCTGGAACAGGTGCAGAGCAAGAGTGGTGAGCTTTTCTTAGGAGACTAGAGGAGCCCCTTATCTCTAGCCTTGCAAATCAGGTCTCTAAGGGGGAGCTTTTGATATCTACAAACACATCAAGAGGTAAATATGAGGAAGGGGAAAAAAGCTAACTAAGCTGAAGGGCGCTAATCTACAAGAATGAACAGATACAGGCTGATTATGATTATATTTATGCTGGTAACTGGAAGGCAGCTCGTTAGATGGGTGATGTTCTAGAACAACAGGAGCAGTGGGAGCAAAACTGCATGCATAGTTCTAGGGAAGAGAGTGTTCATTTATGAAAGGGATTATATGATGCAGTTGTCCATAGTGATAAGGAACAAGGTGTCATGATTCAGGATATCTATCCCAGTCTTAGACTTCCTATTCAGAATAGGGTATTTTAGTTCAACCAAAAGTTATGGACTAAATGGGAAAATTACTTTTGCTCTGGCATAAGCTGTGTGGTACATCAGTTTCATTTTGCTTTGTGCCATTAGAGTTCATCCCATTCATTTGTATGTCCTTTTTGAACTTAAGCTTTATGAATAAAGACTAAAATCTCTTTATACTTGTATGAAAGAGAACAAAATTTCGTTTGAGAGCTGAATTATTATGTACAAAACAGAGTTAGCTGTAAACAAACTTATGGTGGTGTAGCATCCTTCCATGACTTAGTGCCCTCTTTTGGCTTGGGAAAGACTGATAGCAGTACCTTAGAGGGAAACCATACAATGTTGTGATGTGTACCAAAGGTAACCTGGTTAAATGCATGGCAAGGAGCTAGGGCTAGAGATTAGATCAATGTGCTGGATGGACTGTGGAAAAGGATGGCCTTTGTTTCTGTAAAACTGGAAGTGTGCTGCTTGTAGAATAGTAGTTTTCTTTCCTATTGCAGAATGTTTTCAGTGATGCAGTGCCTTTGCCTTGTTTTACTTAAACCTGCCTTCTGACCTGGAATAGTGTTCCATAATTCACTGGAAAGGTAGGCAACTTGCTGTCTGGAAACTTTGTATTACTGAACAAAGCAGCCTATCCGTAAAATAACTTGCAGGTAATGTTTGTAGCTAAAGTGTATAAAATGTGTCTTCCTTAACTCGGAACATCAGAGATTTAGCTGAATAGAGTGGTTTACTGTGTTATGTATACTCACACTATTATATTCTCAGGGTAACTTGAATCTCAAGTCTTAGGAGCAAATGACAAGTGGGTACAACTAGAGGGACATCTTAAACTTTTCCACTCTGCAAAGGCAGATGTAAAGGCAATGAGGCTGAGTGACTTCATTGCTCTCTCTCAAGTCTTGGTCTGTTCCTTGGTCTGTCACAGCCTGGGACTTGCAAGTTTGTCTATTAGCAGGTGAGAAGCTCCTTTAACAAGTAAGGATTTAATTGTTTTGATGAAGTTGAGCTAATAGCTGTTCTGGCTATGTAAACATTCATTATTGTAGAATGGCCGCTGGACTACACACACTGAGTTGATCTTAAAAACCTTTTTGTTCACAAATGCCTTATTATTCCACCCGAAGTCTGGAAACATGGGGGCCTTGCACTCCATGCCAAATTTCACGAGTTTGTGGTACGCTATTGGGAACTAGGTGAACTACCATCAGACCTTCGTGATGCAGTCATCATCACTTTGTATAAGAAGAAAGGTACTAAATCAGACTGCTCAAATTACCGTGGTATTACTCTGCTCTCCATTGCTGGCAAAATCCTGGCAAGAATACTCTTGAACAGACTAATACCTGCTATAGCAGAAGGAATTCTACCTGAAAGTCAGTGTGGTTTCAGAGCCAACAGGAGTATCACAGACATGGTATTTGTTCTCAGACAACTGCAAGAGAAGTGTAGGGAACAGAACAAAGGTCTCTATGTAACCTTTGTTGATCTCACCAAGGCTTTCAATACTGTGAGCAGAAAAGGTCTATGGCAGATTTGGGAACGGTTAGGATGTCCCCCCAAGTTCCTTAAAATTATCATCTCACTCCATGAGGATCAGCATGGCCAAGTCAGATATGGCAATGCACTTTCTGAGCCCTTTCTAATAAAGAATGGTGTGAAACAAGGCTGCGTTCTTGCACCAACCCTATTCACAGTCTTTTTCAGCATGATGCTCCAAAGGGCCACGGCAGTCCTCGATGATCAGGGCGGTATCTACATTTGATACCGTACTGATGGAAGCCTATCCAACCTAAGGCAACTGAAGGCCCACACCAAGACCTTAAATCATCTTGTCCAGGAACTGCTCTATGCTGATGATGCCGCCCTTGTCGCTCACACAGAAGTAGCTCTGCAGCGTTTAACATCCTGCTTTGCAGATGCTGCTGAACTCTTTGGGCTGGAAGTCAGCTTAAAGAAGACAGAAGTTCTCTATCAACCTGCACCTCAGGAAGTCTTCCATCATCCCCATATCACCATTGGCCAATCAGAGCTCAAACCAGTCCAGCAGTTTAATTACTTAGGTAACCTCATCTCCTCAGACGGTTAAGACTGATGGAGAGATAGACAACAGGTTAGCAAAGACATATTGTGCTTTTGGAAAACTCCATAAAAGAGTTTGGCGTAATAAACACTTGAAGAAAAGTACCAAGATCAGTGTTTACAGAGCCATTGTGCTGTCTACCCTCTTATATGGTTCCGAATCATGGGTCATCTACCGCCGCCACCTGTGTCTCCTAAAATGCTTCCATCAACGCTGTCTCTGCACAATCCTAAACATCTACTGGTCAGATTATGTGACCAATACATCTGTTCTAGAACAAGCAGCAGTCACAAGCATTGAGGCCATGTTGCTGAGAACACAACTGTGCTGGGCAGGGCATGTCTCAAGGATGAAGGACCACTGCCTCCCTAAGATCTTGCTTTATGGTGAACTTGCCACTGGTTGCCGCAAGAGAGGAGCCCCGAAGAGAAGATACAAGGACTTCCTGAAACAACATCTCAGCCTTGGCCATATTGATCAACATAACTGGTCTACTCTGGCCTCAAATTGGGAGGTCTGGAGACACACCATCTATAACGCTGCTGTTTCCTTTGAGAAAGCACACAGGATCACCCTTGAGGAGAAAAGACAACGCAGAAAGAATCGTGTCCTGCAGAATATACCACCTAAGGGGTCTTTCTGCTGTGCCTTTTGCAATCGGATATGTCCATCTTGTATTGGCCTCATCAGCCACCATCGTGCTTGTAACAAATGTGGATAGAGCCTTCCTAAATCTTTGTTCGCGAAGCCTAGTCATGACTGACTATGCGTCTTTTACAATGAGCACAAAGTATCTGAGATGTCTAAACAGTTACTGAGTAGGAAAATAAAACAACTTCACAAACTACAGCTTTCTCCACTTTCTGGATTTGTATATATCGCTTGATGTCTACAAGGACTTCAGTAGAGCAGCATGTTTTGTCTTAAGCTTTAACTTATTCCTGGATGAGTTCTCTTTATGTTTTAACGGAGCAATTGTATAGATACTGGGGCACTTCCACTCTTACTATGGACTGACTGTATCAAGTAGTTAGGGATTGGGAACAGTGTTGCATAATACATCACATCATCTTAACACAGTCTGCATGAGATAAGGCACTGGTGCCCCTAACTGAAAATATGTGTGTTGTGTGTGTGATACGTGAGTTATATTTAGGAAGTTTTAATGACTTGAGAGTTTATAACCATACTGGTACAAAGAAGCCAGAAGTAAAGCTACTAATCTCTGGGTAGAAGCTGAGCAAGACTGTAAGGGTAGTGGTAAGGCTGTTTCTGGAATATACAGTACGATGCATTAGTAAATTATTTACTCACTCTACAGGTAAAAGTTTATCCATTAAGAGTAACCTCTGGCAGAGGGCAATATCAATAACTCGGGATAGTACCACTTCATCTTCTGCTTGGGGAAGAAATTACCTTTGTTACCAGTTCAGTAAGATGGACCAAGGAAGATTAGACACAGGGGGTGATAAGTTTGTCCTTCTAAAATACTTTTTTTTTTTTTCCTTTGTAGGTTTTTTTGGAGCACCTCAGATGACATCCTAAATGGATGATCAACTTCACAATGGCAGAACTCACACTGGAAAATGGCAGCTGTATGGACTGGCAAAAGCGATGCCTTGCGTTGGAGTCCCAGCTCTTCAAATTCCGCTTGCAGGCAAGCAAGATCCGAGAGCTGCTAGCTGAGAAGGTGAGGCAGTGGTGATGACTTCTACTTTGTAATAAGTTATGACATGAAAGCAAAAAGTCTGTAAGTGCCGAGCTATCCAACAGAACTGTTACTTGCAGTAACGATTTCTTTCTTGATTACAGTATGTTTTTGCACTCTGCTTATTTTACTCAAGATGCAGAGATGTGCCTGTCTGAGTGGTGAAGGTGGCATTAGTGAAAATAAGGATTTGACCTTGTTTACTGCAAAATCACCAAGTATTTGGACTCTGGTGGAAAACAGTATGTCAGCAAGATTCTGGATATCTAAAGTGACTGAGGCAGCTGCAGAACAAAGATGGATGCTGTGGGTTAGAACATCAGTACTGGGACTTGGCTGGCAACAGAAAAGCTTATAGGAGTGCAAATTATGCTATAATGTTAAAAAACTAGACAAGGGTACATGTGTTGCCATAGTGTTAGAATAACATTTTATATCCAGTCAAAACATTCTGGGGATGCTGAGGAGCAGGGCCAGATATTTTGAGATCTGAATGTTAGAAACTTGCATAGCATCTGTGATTTTAGAGGCATCTCCCACTAATCTCTTTCAAGTGTACTCAGTGAATTTGTTTACATCCTAGGGGAGAGGACTGGCAATATTTGAGGGGTTTGTTGGAGTTTTCTCTTTTGTTTGTTTTCATCATGGTGTGAATTTTTTGTGTTTTTTTCTTTACCTTAGATTGAGTTGTTTTTCAATTTGAATTAAAGCTTTTTCACTAAATTGTATAAAATCCAAGTTTGTAGGTTGCTGTGGGGTTCCTTCTTTTTTTTCCAAATGTGGCTTACATTATCATAGTCCAGTCCAAGATTGCTCAGATATTGCTCAAATATTTACTGTTGGAAAGTGAGAACAGATTCTTTCAGTCACAGTTTACTAATGATATTAAAATCTGTACAACTAGCTGCAGTTTACTGTACATGATGACAGATGCATTCTAAACTCACTTTTGCCCTATTTTGTATTAGGTAACTTCTGTGTGTATATTCTTGTTTGTTGATTTTGGATGTAAAAACATCAAAATGTTGGCTACTTCAGAGTGGAGTAATTTTCATCCTTGCTTTCACTGTAATTACATTTTTAGTAATGCCATATAGTGCATGAGACATTCATTCTACCCATCATATTTTAATAAATTATGCAATTATAATTACCCTTTTCATCTCTTCAAGGTAGCTTCTGAGGTGGACCTTGGTGATTACTTACCTTGAAAAACATTGAAAGTAGTTGTAATGTCCATTTAGATAAAGGCACATTAAAAAAATAATTTATAGATGTGGCCCAGGTCTGGTAAAGAGAATCAGTATTCATTTGCTGTGTTATGGAATCTGTGTCCTTGTGCTTTCTTAATATCTGTTTTGAGAAACTTTCTGACTACCCACACAGAAAACAAACCTACGTAGAAGACTTTCTTTCTGGAGAACAAACTTGCTAGATATCTTTTGACTATTTCTTTAGGGAGGGGCTCCATGGCAGGGAATGAAATTTTCATCTTCTTCAGGGGGCTCCTCAAGGAAGGGACCTGACTGCCATAAATCCAGCCTCTCAGTCAAAGCGATGTTCCCCAGGAGTAGCTTGGTTCAGTGATCAGGTTATTCTGTAACTACCTGTACAGAACTGTTGTAGGCTTACTTGAAGGTTCAAAGAGCTAGCAGGCTTGCAATTCTCTGAATGTCATGTGGGAAGGGGAGAGCCTCGGGGACTATGGGGCAGCTCCAGCAGGCCCTCCTGCTGCAGGTGGACTCAAGGCACCAGAGCAGTTGCTCCGCACACAGTGCTCATGCTGAACACTGTTGTTGGGAATTGTCCTCTGCCTCAGGTTCCCAAGTGGTCTGTAACAACTTGCTCAGAGATCCTCCTTCCCTTCTCAGTCACCACAGGGCTCTCCAGCAGTCACAGCAACAGCTTGTATCTGTGCTGCATCCTTCTCCCGCTCAGGTGGCCAGTGATGCATAACTGAAAGAGATACATGGTTTATGATAGTGATGCCAGCTTCAGGGATTTTTATCATAGATTTTTATAGTAACTGTGATTTTTAATCTTTTTTTTCTCACTGTTCTATCTGAGAGAATCAAGAGATTCAGACTTATTTGAGAGTACTGCATTTCAAAAAAGGTTTTTTGAGGTAGTGGGGGGGGGTGATTTTGGAAAAGTATGTAGTGGGCACAGTTTGAATCTGTGTTGCCAACCTGTGGTGAACATTGTCCCGAGATCCTCCCAATATGGTTTGTAGCAACAGGAAAATTATTTTTTAAAAAAGTGATTTAGATGGTGAAAGTGAAGAACAGTGTTAACAGTGGTGTGATACTTGCTCACCAGCCAGGTTGTCTCAAGGGTTTTGAAGTGACTGATTGAAAGGCTTGGAGACCTGATCCCCCACATTTTAAATTATTCTTTATAACTAATTTTATTACTTAAAGACAAGTTTTACTATTTTAACTCACAAAAAACCCCAACCACTCATGCCTGGCATTGGTAGTACAATGTGCTCCAACAGTTTAAGTACTTGAGATTTTTAAAATCCGCTTAGATTGAATAATCTAGATCGCAGTTCAGAACATGAGGAATTTAAAACCCAGTGGTTTAACTGCCAGTGCCCTAGTTCACATGGTGTGAACTTCCACATTGATAGCCTGGTCTCAGCTATTGAACAGAGCTACCCAAGCTGGGCAGAGCCTGGCTGTTGGTCAGTACGGCAGAAAGACCCCAGCCCCTGGTCTCCCAGACAGAGCCCTGCCATCCTGCTGGACCCCCATAGGGCACAAGGCCCCTGGATCCTACCTTGTTGTGGACATGAGCAGGGATCTATTCTCTTTGGAAACTGGCAGTTGTTTTCACTCTGTCTTGTACACACACACTGAAAAGGGATACTCCTCTGTTGGTGAGCGGCATAGTAGATCGTTTCCTTGGCAGCAAGTTGGCCTGGTTAGGAGTGAGCACTGGAACAGAACAACAGGAGGAAAAGGAAGCTGAGACATGCAGGAATTTTTTTCACTCAGTTTTATGTAGCCTCTTCTGAGCCATCAGGAGAGGGAAAGCCTCTGTGAATGGTTGATCGGAGGATCTTTTGCAGCTTTTAGAAGGGCCATCTGGGTAACATTTAACCTGCTTCTATCTTACTTCAGTAAGCAATGAACATTTGGAAAAAGGCTCTTTTGTGTCATGCAAGCATGGCTATTCAACTAGTCCTGTTTCTCCCATACAAACTGTCTGGGCTGACGTTTTGGAGAAGAGTTTAATGAATTGGGCTTGGTCGCTAAGTTTTTTATATGACCTGGGTCATGTTGCTTAGTAGCATTTGTCAAATGATAAAGCATTTTGAATGAAAGGACCCATGTAAGTACCAAGCATTATTATTAATTCATTGAGGGATTTGAAAGAGCCTTACAAGCGTGGTTGTATTAAATCTGAATGTGCTCCAGTGAGACCGCTGACACTGGGGATGAGCAAAATAATAGTTTTGTGTACATGAGAAACACAGTTCGTAGTAGTAGGAAGACCCAACAAGGAAGTTAAGAAAAGTACAAGTTCATTTAAGGCTACAGAGGGAATTAGGGTGACAAAAGTAATTGATTTGACTGGAATGTAGCCAACTCATCCTGGTTGCAAAAGAACTTTTTAGTGATCAGGGATGGTCCCAACATACATTCTCTATCCTGATCAGGATCTAGAACTGCTAGCAATGCAAAGCAAACTGTCATGAGGCTGGGACAACAATGAGTTTTTCAGTCAGAACAGTGTTGTCTTAAAATAACCTGAGTCTTTCATGAAGATTGCCCACCTTTGGAAAAAGGCTCAGAGTTCTGTCTGTGCTGTGAATGTAGACCCTGTCAATTAATCAGAAAACTAACGGAGATCATTGATTCTGAAGCTACTGTCTTAAACAGCCTTTGTTTCACAAAGTGTATTATGTCTCCATAATAGTTATGTTGGCATCTGTCTTTTGCCAATATATTTTGCCGCTACCTATCTGTGGTGATGACTATCCAGAGACTAACAGATAAATGCATGGGTACATCACTGTTCCTAAGGGACACATACTTGTGTTGTAGCACAGACCACTGCTCTCAGTGTTAGATTGCCTTGAGCTCAGTCTCCTCCAAGACTCTAATAGTCTTTGGTTAGAGTGGCGTTGTCTGTGCAATGTTCTGTGGCATCTCTCTGATCCTCTGCCAAGCAAGCATCCATAATTTGGATATTAAACTACATAGACTGTGATATCCTTAATTGCTTTACTGAAAAAGTAAACCTGAGAGGTATCGTGCTAAATGTGTCACTTTCTGATCTTCATGGTTTGAATTTGTCATTGCGCTTTTAGTTACATGACTACTGAGATGTCTGCATATATGTACCTTTCTGGTATGTTTGTTGATAGGTGTCAATCTGCTCTTATGATCAATGGGTGCAAATGGAAAGAAGAATTGTCTTCTTCAATTGTTGCTGTCTGAAAAAGGGAAATGGAAAGGCAGGAATGCTGCCACATCCATTCTGGGTGATCAACCCAAGAGGAACAAGTCTCATTTTCAGAAGTACTGGTTTGGTCCTTTTAGTGACCAACCTGAATACTTGACTCCAGTGCATTATCAAGAACTGTAAAACATTGGAGAGGAAAAGAGCTCAGTTCCCTTTATAGTTAGTTTTCTTCTTGAAGCTTGATTCTTTTAATCTTCTGAAGGTGTTTCTGTGTCATTCTTTCTGTAGTAAAACACAAGTAGGTGCTGGAAACTCCATGAAGCATTCTTCAAATTTTGCAACTTAGTGGATGGTACTTAGTGTCACTGATTTCATAATACTGGGTTTATATCTGAGACCCATCAAAGCAGGGAAGATCATGAAAGATGATCTTGAAAGCACCGAATTAGATAGTAGGTTGCTTCAAAAAAAAAAAAGAACACCTCAAAAAATGGGCTCTAGCGGCAAATTATTAGAGGAACACCAGGTATGGGGGGTATCTACATTTCATGAGAGTGAAGTGGTTTATGTACATTTAGGATGAAATTCTATTCAATGTCTTTTGACTTCAATAGCACCAATGCTCAGATGTCAAATCACCGAATTGTCAGTTTGCAAAGCTGTTTAAAGTGCAAAGAAGCATAGGAAAGTTAAGATCATTGTTAATCTTATGAGTTATGAGCCTATGATGCTTTTGAAGGCAATGCAAAATATTCATATGTCATAATGTGGCATCATAGAGAACCTGCCGTGAGCTTTACAAGATGTATTAATTTTTATTTACCATTGTGAATGAATCCTAGCTAAAATAAAATCAGGGAATAATGGTGCACTGTAGACAGGCTTCTTGCAGGGACAGCCCATGGTGTGTAAATTCTAGAGATGAGGTCAAGACTTTGGGACTATTCCTTTGACCCATGTAATGAATGATGAAGTTCACTAATGAGACAACAGTTCCGGTAAATTCAAAGTAGAGTAGAAGACTGGGAAAGATCAAAGGCTTTTTTTTTTTTTCCCTGGTCAGAGCTGTCCAGTTAACTCAAAAGATGCCAAAGAAAATCTGTAGACTTGCACAAGAAATGGGAGATTCCTGAGTAAGACAGGTGAATTTTCAGGTGATGTTAATTTTTTTTTTTTCTCCTCCTCTTCCATCTTCTTTTCTGGCTCTGAAGATGCAGGAATTGGAGCAGAGAGTGATAGAAGCAGAGCAAAGAGCTGAAGAGGCAGAGAAACAGGTAAGAGATTTTTTTTATGGTTGCTTTGGTACAAATCCACCAGTAACTTCCTCTAAGTTCCTTCTGGCCTGGCATACAGACAGCACTCTGCCGTGCTATGCCCTGCTAGGGAAACATTGATTTACAGTAGTGAATGGATTTTCTGGTCTACTTGCCAGTATTTGAGCCTTAGCTGTGACCAGGTGCCTGAATATGTTGAACCCTAAGTGAAAAGTAGCACCTTAGATCTGCCTCTCAGCATCATAGCCTTTACCCTCTAGTCTGTCATAGGGATGCTTGGTTATAGAAAAGGAAGGAAATGTTGTATCTCAGGATTAAAGCACAAAGATAGAGCTACCTGGCAGGTCCTCAGAAAACAAGTACTTAAGAGTACTGGTAAGGACTTGTCTACAAGTAGAGAAGGTTCTATGAAAGAAGTAGGTTTTGCAGACACACCCTTATCACTTGTTTTGGACATTCTGTATAGTTAATTACTGCTCTGGCTTAGGAGCCCATGCAGAAAAACAGTGAGTTGGATTCATTGCCTGTTACTGGAACCATCTACAAAATTAGGCATAATAATTAGGCATAAGCTAGTCCTTCTATGCTTCTTGAATAATGGAGAAGGGGAGAGACAGCGAGACTTCATCTTGTGAACAGGCTATAAAGAACAAAGAACCTTTGGGAAGCAGACTGATTTACTGTAAGGAGCATTATGGAAACAAAAGAGCCAAGAAGGGCTAAGTGGTCTGGGCCCTTGCATCACTGCAGAACGCTGATGAAGAGAAGGTTTGAAGTGAAGCAGCTCCCTCCAGCTGGACAAGGCTGCAGGACTGAGCGTTGAGTCAGAGATTAAAGCACAGAACTAAAAGCTGCACAGGATGGTTGAGAATGGCTGTCAAAGATGACTTCAGTAGTGAAGGACTGAATAGGCAGTGTTATAAGCACTGGGAAACATATTGCCTAGGAATCAAGAACTTGAAGTTCTGGGAAAGGTATTCTGTCTGTAGAACATACTTTTTCATGCCAGTTTGATATTGACATCAAGATTTTTTTACTGACCATTTTAATTATAAGAAAGATGCTATGTCTAGACACCACACTGTTGGCTTCTATGCTAGAGCAGCAACTGCCAACCAAGAACAAGAATTATTCTTGAGAGTGGTATCAGTAAGTTCACACCCAACCAAGATAGGCAAAGGTAACACAATACAGGCAAAAATGACAGCTGTGACAGCACTAGCAGGAAATACAATTATTACCACAGGCCAGTGAAGAAGGTTTCATACTAGCAGACACCTCAATGATAGGAGTACAGTGTCCATGATATGGTAAAATGCAATGACAGCAAGGGAGAAGATGGAGAGCAAGTCAAATCCAGGTCCAAGAATGGGCAAGAAAGGGAGAACTTGTCTGGGAAGGTGTAGCAGAAATGAGGGTTGCCTTCACTCACCTGCCACCTGCAGAAATGAGGGTTGCCTTCACTCACCTGCCACCAGCAGTTCTGTAGCCGTATGTTGGCAGGTCCTAAAGACTAGCAACCCTCAATGTTTGCCTTTACAGCAGCCTTATCCACATCCAGAGATAAGTGTTCCTAGAGAAATACTTCATTGCTGCCTGACAGCCTAAAGAAGTGACAACATAAGAGCAGGACCATTCCCTTTCACTAATGAGTACATTCACCATGAATGAGAAGCAGCTGACAAATGAGAGAGCTCCACATCAAGTGCAAAATCCCGTGTTATCTTTCTCTCCAGGAGTCTGGGGGGTTGGATTTATTAATTCAATGGACTCCCTGTAGCTGCCAACCTCAATTAAGGAAATCACATGTTTGCAGTCCCCTTGCTGAGCCTCTAGTACAGAGTCAGCATTTGGGCATCAGACAGAAAGGAGGGGCCATTTCTTTTTACTGTAATCACCCTAAACTCTAATGAAAACACATCCGACTCAGCAGGCTTAGTTTTCTGGCTCAGATGTTGGGCGCCTACCTTTCTGATTCAATATGAGGAAGAGGCAGTAGGTTTCTCTGCCTAATAGAGGCAGACAGGAGGACAAAACACAGCTTCTGCAAGTATGAAGTGTAGGCTGCTCAGCAGAGCATGAGTAACTCTCTTGCAGAGACTCTGTGAAGTGCTCAGATTGCTGCCTGCGTTTTGTCTTTCTGGTTCTAAATTCATGCTAAATTAATGGTATCTGGAGTTGGTTTCTTTACAGATTTAGCTTCTTTGGGAAGAAGCTGGTGTTGGAACCAGATATTTTCCCATCATCAAATTCTGCAATTAGCACATTTGAGTTAAGTTAAGGGGATTCAATTCATCTTTAGAAATGAAGTCTTTTAATCGTTTGCAATAGAATGAAGTAACAGTAAAATGAAGTGACATTACTGAGAGACATAGGTTTTGAAGAAGGCAAAGAGATTTTAAAAATTCTCTGAAAACCTGAAATGCTTCAACAGCGGCTAGATTTTAGTGCATTGAAACTTTGTAGTGAAGGAGCATTGCAATGGTGTTTCTCTTGCTGAGATGAAAAAGTGTTGGCACTGGCAGGAGCTCAAAGATAGGCAAATCTTCTGAAATATCTAACATGGCAACTCCTTAGTAGGTCTGTAGAAAACACTTGTCAGAAAGACGGGAGTTGCTGAAACACTTTTGGTTTGTTGAAACACATTGGTTTGGTTTTTGTTGTTTTGCTTGTTTTTTTTAATCTCCTTCTGATTATTATTATAGGTCAGAGTTATGGAAGAGAAGATAAAACTAGCGAATGTGAAGATTTGTGAATCAGACAGCACCCTGTACAGGAAATACCAAGACCTGATGGGCACGGTGCAAGGAAAAGAGGATCTGATCAGCAGATTGGAGACACAGCTAGCAAAACAGGTAGGGGTATTTTCTGCAGGGAGACCTGCAGCTTTTATGAGTTAGAGAGATTCTGTAATGTGTGGTTCAAAGGTATGGATTATATCTTTTTGCACATTAGCCTCTCAGTTGCATTCAGATTAGCTCTAAAATGATGCCTGCTGAGTACAAGATCCTCTCTTCCTTTTCACACAGAACATCCACTCTGCTTCAGTAGTCCATGTCTCTTCATTATAGGAGATCGGTCAGTGTGTTTAAAGGGCTTCCTTATGTTAGTGCTGAGACCCTAAATTGTAATGCTACCGTCTGGTCACAGTGTTCCTCTGGCTTCCTAGCATATAGATTGCATTACAAAATCATTATGTAGCCCATCTCTGACTGTTTATGCTGCTTCTTGAGAAGGGTCTTTTCCCAGTCTTCAGCAATCCTTTAACGTAGTTCATCTTGGAAGAAGTTCTTTAGAGAGAGTGATTGGGCATTGGAATGGGCTGCCCAGGGAGGTCATGGAGTCACTGTCCCTGGAGGCATTTAAGAAGAGACTGGATGTGGCACTTTTTGCCATGGTCTAGTAGACAAGGTGGTGTTGGGTCAAAGGTTGGACTCGATGGTCTCAGAGGTCTTTTCCAATCTAGTTGATTCTGTGATCTCTCATCAGATGTCTTCATTGTAAGAGAGCAGCTGTTTCCCAATATGGATACTTCTTAGTCTCTTCCATTTTCAGTTGGTCGAAGGAAGGAGCTAGTTCTATAGCAGGGCTTCTCTTTTGGCTCTGGTAAGGGCTTTCCCCTGTGGTTTTTATAACATGAGGAATGAGGTATTCCTATGTGTTGCTAAGTAAATTACTTTTAAATAGAAATAACTCAGTAGAATTTTAAACCAAACAAAAAATGACCATTTGAGTTACATTTAACTAATTGAAACCTATTTCAAGGACTGGTAGTAGAAATCTTCCTGTCCTAGCAACAAGAGCCAAAATGAGATTCTAGAAATGAAAGCCAAAGCTTGACAATTCCAGAGAAGAAACACTCTTTGACAGAGTCATTGGTTTAGTTTCAGAATGGGATGAGATGGTGGCAATGCTAGAAGGTCACTGAGGATCCCTGTAAGGCATCCTATTTGTTTTCACTGGGATGGGAAAAGCTGTGGAGTTCAGAGTGTTATTAAGAGAACACTGAGGTCATGTCTGGACCACACAATAGTGTGGGACACAAAGAATCTCTAATTGCCTTTGGATCTTAAAGCACAATAACTGCTATGGGTGCTGTGCCTAAGTGAATTGGTTCTGCTTAGAAGTGGGGCTTACTAAACTTGGTGACAATGATGGTGTCATACTGCTATTCTACTTTAGGACCCTAAATAAAATCTTGGCATTGCATTTTGCCATGTAGCATAGTAATATTCTGAATCTTTTACCTCTTAGACTCTGATTTGAGACTAGTCCAGGTCAATAGGAATTCAAAGCCATTTCGCATATGACGGATATTCAGAGATGGTAGGTCTACTATATGTGCCAGATCATTTCAGACCTGTAGGCACATCTAGTATTCTGACTCCAGCAGAGGTTGAGACCCAATGATTTGGAACACACACAGTCATATAAAAGGGAAAAAAAAAGCTAAATAAATGCTCTTCTTAAAGCATGTTATTTGATTGCTTTTATTTCATTATGCTCAACTACAAATGTTACTGCTACCTATAGTGTTGCTAAGGCCTGTTTTAAAGTCAGCAAACATACTTGAATAGGAACATTTAAATGTGCAGTTGTGGTGATAAACAGCATAGAGTGATTAAAAGTGATGTGAAAATGTGGGGAATTTTGCACAGTCTACTGTGTATTTATATGGTATTCATCAGTTTGAAAAACTTAAAGTGGGGGGACGCAATGACATTTTTATTATCATAGTTACCAGTATTTTTTCACATCAGAAAAAGACAATCTAGCGGAAACCACTAAGTGCTGCCAAAAGTCTTTGCCCATTAATTGGAGAAACCAGAGCTGAATGTGCTATATAATGTAGCATATATTCCTCCTCCCTCCCTCCCTTGCTCCTGGAACTGATTTCTTCTTGCAGATGTTTAAATCGTTATGTAGATAGGAGAGCTTTCAGTGATGTTGCTTCTGATGGAGCTACACAGGAGATAAACAGAAGGCTTCAGATGTTCATGGTATTAATCTGACATCTTTCAAAGGAAATTTCCAGAAAAGTTAAAAACATGGCTAAGAAAACACAGCTGCGAAAATGATGTAGCAATATTGCACAGATATTTGGGGGGAAAATGTTCATTGTGCAAACAAACAGTATTGCCATAACACCTCTGTGTGGACTAGAACCTGTTTTAATGGGTATGTAAAGGTACAATCACTTACACCATCTGAAAACCTCCTAGCAGGTCTTAGTGTTTCAAGGTCAAGTTTTGGAGCTGGGTTTTTGGTTTTGTTGGGTTTTTTTTCCCTTAGTTTACTTTTTCAATGAAAATATTGTGTGTGTGTGTGTGTTAAATACATTGTTGGTATTAGTTTCTGTCTTGTGTATCTTCAAAGTCTGTGCCCTACACTTGTGCTTACAGCAGTTGAATCCCTTTTGCTTGGAATGATCAGATTTTATAAAACACTTATAAGCATTGCTTAATTCTTATTAACTGTGGGCAATAATGTGTGTGTAGGTTGGGGTAACACTACAGATGTCAATAGCAAACAGCAACATTGCAAAACCATCTGAAACAGAAAAAGTTGCAGATTGTACTCAAACTCTGGTAGGTGAGCAATCATTACCTGAGCTGGATTTTGCTATTCCAGAACAAACTCTTGAAACAACTCTCTGAATTTAACTCTAGAGACCATGTAAGACAACTTAGAGCTTGATTTTTTTCAAAGGCCAGCTAAATAATAATATCCAATTAACAGTCTTAAATCTTATATCTGGAATGGGAGCGTCAGTGTTTCAGTCACTCCCGGTGCAGTAACTTACTGAGAACAGTTCGTTGTATTCTCCTTGTGTTTGTAATGTTGGGTTTGGTTTTTTGGCACAGAAACAGTTGAGGACTGAAGAAGCCAAAATTGTTCAAGAGAAAGCTGCCAAGATCAAAGAATGGGTAACATTTAAGCTCAGGGAGGTAAGTCTCTAGCTTGCTGCAAAGTTTTAAGGCTTGTGCGTAGGTGCAGTGGCTGCACTGCCAGTGGGCTTCTGTGTAGGACAGTACTCTGAGGACAGTCAATCTGCCACAGAGGCTCTCTGCCTGCTTGGCCCTACGCATACTCTGTTGTAGAGCTGGGGTCATCACTCTTGGTTGAGGGCTACTGACTTTATTGGGCAAAGTATAAATGACCGTGAAGTCACCAGTGCCCAAAAGCAGTCTCTGAAGAAGATTTAGTAGTCACAAGTGGCTTTCACCTCGCTTTCCTCTGCCTCTCCCTTTTTTCTCTGGGTGCACTTTCTGTCTTTCTGACAAACCAGCTGTAACACAAACATGTCCTTTGCTCTGCCTTAATCTACCATCTCTGACTAATGGTGTTTTCCTACTGCCCAGTATTTTCTCATCTCTAACCTTTCTGTCCTATCCATCCTATGGACTTGTGCCTCTATCTGGGCCTACCTTCTAGAAAAACAAAGACAGTGGGTCAGCATGCAGTTTTGAAGATGCAGTAATAGTTTGCAACTGGGAGTGGGGCTATCTGGTCTTTTATTCCAAGTTAAAGACATGTATTTCCCAGTTATTGCAGAAAGGGAATTTCTTGAAGTTGGAAGAAGCAGTCTTTGTGGTCACTAATTATGTTATGATGGGACTTTGTCGTATCATTGAATTGCCTAGATATTTCACCAGGCTGCTGGGCTGCTTCTCTTTCATTTTCCTGTATGAGATAACTTAAGATGCATTTACATTACTGACTGGTGCAGCGCAAAGAAGGAAGCACGGGGTTAATTTGGTGTGGTCTGCTGTGAATCCAGGGCCATACATTCACATTGTGTCTTTACTGCCAATGAAGTTTGTGCCAGATGCTGATTCTATGTGCGTACCATGCAAAAGTGGAGCACTGCCAATTGGAGAACTTAGAGTCTGTGTTGCAAATGGGTTACCCTAGACAGCACGACTGATGTGGTTTCAACTTTGCCATCAAGAAGGAAGCCTGTCTGGGTGCACCACTGCTGTGTTTAAGAATGGATGCTGAGACACTTAAAGTAAAGGCATAAGGCAAATTTGCAAAGAATCTCTCATGCTGTAGTTGGAAATGTAAATGCACCCTTAACATTTGTTGGCTTTTTTCTTTGGTCCCCTTCTTTTACTATATACAGGGTGAGATGGAAAAATGCTCCTTCAGGGTAATGCTTTTTTTGATTCTCTCTTTGGTGACAGTTATTTCTGCAACAGGAGTAAATGATAAACAATATCATGGAAATAAATTAGAAGACCTATTTGAGAAGCACAATGGTATATGCAGAGGCTGTTTGAGAAAGCACAGCAAAATGTTTAAGTGGGTTGTCCAGTGCAGCTGCTGAGTAGAAGGATTTCAAGGTGACTGGTAGACTCACGCATCATTTTTTTCCTTGTTAAGACACTTGAATGTGGTAAAGATGAAGACATATTCTGTATAGAGGATCACTTGCACACACAGTTTTGCATTATGTTTCAGTTTTTGTTATTGTTTTTTCATAGCTTGAGCTAGAGAATTACCACCTGAAAACTTGTAATCAGAGGCTGATGGAGCAAATTGAAGCCCTTCAGGATACATTGCAAGGTAAATGTGTTCACCTAGTAACCACCACAAGAGTGGAAGTTAGCATTCCCAGGTTGTATTCTTAATTTTGTCAGAAAGTAACACTTGTAACAGCAAGCAGTGGAATCGCTCTGTTCCTCAGAGGATCTATTTTTAAGATGGGAATACCATGCTTACCTGCCTTAAACTCTTAATTGTTTTCCCACTAATGATTGAACACAGAACCCTTTTTTAAAAATCTGCTTTTGCCATTAAAATAAGCCACTGAGCTCCTGAATTAGAAGCATTCATTGAAGTACGTAGTAAAGTACATTCACTTCAGTGCTAGAGGGGAGAAGCCCCTGAGGTATTTCACTTTACTTCCACATGTGAGTCATTCTCATCCCCACAGAACCTCTGCTATCATGTGAGCTGAGTAATTGAATAATCCAAGGCAGCAGATGCCTGGTCTGGCTTTAGGAAGCTGGGATCCTCTGTGCTATCAGGTTGGATTGGAGAAAGCTGCTTATGGTGTTTGGGCTTTTTTAGTTCTTCTCTGGTGGACAGATAGAAAAACTTAGCCTCCAGGGCTTGTATTCAGCACCTTTCATTGCAACACACTTTGCAGAGGAAATTCTCTCTTAACAATTTTCTTCCTTTTAGTTTTTCATGACCTTGGTTTGATCACAGTAAGATAGCTCGTTTCCAGAACTTCACTGGGCGTGCGGGCAGGGGGCATTTCTTTCCTGCAGAAGTCTTCCTGGCATTCCTATCACTCCACAGCAAGGGAATAGGGCAAAATTCCTTCTAAATCCTGCCACATTTCTAGCGAAATGCTTTATGACTGGGTTTTTCTCATCCCCTCTGGCTCTGACTGTTCACAAAAGGAGAATGCCTGGTAAGCTGCGTTAATAATCTGGTATTAAGTGTTCCCTGGATCCCAACTCTCTGGGCAGTAAACATCACTGCCCTCTCCTCTTATGCCTCACTAGTCTCACTATGCCAGGCTGAAGTCAGAGGCCTCTGCAGAGAGACAAATCTCTTCTTGCTTGATATGCTAATAGTAACAACTTCCTCCTCTTAATCTCCTGTCACATCTAGGAGGCTGCAAAAATACCAGCAATATTTAAAATGAATGGCCTCTTTTCAGTCTACACTAATGATTTACCTCAGGGTCAGGGGAAATGTGTGCCAAGATTTTTGTGTGCCAGTGGTATGTGTTAGCTTTGTTAGCATTCAGTTCCTTGTGACTCAAGCACCAAGGTCTCATGGTTGTCTTTTTCTCAGCAGGTTTCATCCTCTCCACTGTCAACAGTAATGTATTCTACTGTTTGCTCTTTCCTCTGTAATTTTGTGTCTTCAGTTTGTTTCTACTTCCTAATTCCTTAACCGTTGCTGGTTAAGCAACACCCATAGAGTTTGATGTTAAGGCAGCATTTTCAGCGATACCTATGCAGAGTCACGCTCACCCATATTTTGCAATTTCTAAAGCATCTAATGATTTGGTGCTTTTTCAGTCAGGCAGTGTATAAGTGCCAACATCAATCAAACATCCTCTGCCACTCCAAGTTTTATCCACACTTTCTCATACCCTAAAGCTACTATTCAGAAGAAATTGTAGAACTGAGATAGTCTTTAAATCTGGTGATTATGGAAAGGGAAAAAGTACAAGAATTATAAAGTGTGGGTACTAAATAGAAAAAGGACAATGGAAGCCATCTATGATCTATTTTTTTATGTCATCTTCTAATATAGCAACTGAAAGGGCAGAGAAAGAACTAAGAAAAAAAAAGATTTTACAGCAAAATCATGTAAGAAACTATTATAAAACTTTGTGACAAAAAGCACTGTGTGGGTCATATAGCACAAAAGGATAGCAAAAAGCTCTAGGGAAATTCTTGAAAAGAGAGTAACCTCACTGATTGGTGTGATGCTTAAGAAGATCTCCATACCTTTCCTGGAAGTCTCATGTAGCCCTTGGGAAGGGTGGAATCATACTATCTTTTTTGATGACTTAAATCACTGTAGGTCCACTAAAGCCAAAAGCAATGCTAAGCAGTGTTCTGGCCACTTGGATGTTTTTTGACAGTATTGTGTGGTAAGTGCACTTCCTTCTCATGGCTGTTTTAAGAAAAGAGACACAGTTGTATATAGGTAAGAGTAAAAACTGTTATATTGCATTAGACTGAAAGCTTGCCTAGGCCTGTATCCCATCTCCTGGCTGGCTGTGGATGTTTCAGGACAGAGTGTAGGAAATACTGCAAGTAAACCTGTCCTCCTCTCCATTTACCCTTCCAGCTTCTGCTGTCAGTAGTTTAGGAAATTTCTAGACCAGAGCTTCCATACTACTGATACATTAGTTTTTCTGGCATATCTGCAGCATTGTATTTCCTTTTTTGTCTGCAAAAAACCCCTTCCTTCTGTAAATTTCAAATACACTGCTTGATAATTTCATTAGGCACCCCTTAATTCTACTTTTGTAAGAAACAGTGATTAATCATTTCCTGCTCATCTCTTCTGTGCTATTCCCAGTTATAAATGTATAGCACATTTGTTATAACTGTGCCCAGCAATCTCTTTCCTGTTCTGTATAGTCCTAACCAGGCCAGGGTGTTATTGAAATACAACTGGCACGAACATACACTAGGAAGCAACAATTAAGACATTAAAGCATTTGAATGCCCTAACCATATGTTCTCCTCCCTTGTAGATATGACCAGCATTCCTCCCTTTGAATCTCTTTGGAGCTGTAGTTCCCTGAAGCCTAGAGCATCACAGGCATCTTTTGCTGAGAAGATAGATCAGGAATCTGTGCTCCTTGCACCTGGTTTCAGAGAGATGTGTCAGACAGGACCTACCAAGCATGTCCTTTCTTCAGCAAATACAGTTCTTGCCAATGACACCTTTACTGAGAATGGTGAGGATAAATCTCTGCTTTCCCAGAATAAGCTGAAGCTTGTGTCTGACCCATCAAGCTGGAATCTCTACACAGAGAAGGATGTATTCCCAACCATAAGTTTTGAACACGGTTTAGGGTGCTCTGATCCTGTATCAGTGGACCCTCCAGCTGAGACCACAAGAATTCTTGAAGCTTTGACCTTCCAGTCATCTTTGAAAGAAAACTGCAGTGCTGTGAGCACCTTGAAACAAGTGGGTTTTGATGGCACCCGCTTCTCTGATGATCTGAGTGCCAGATTCCACTCCCACCATCTCGAGTCCTCTTCCTCAGGAGAAATAATGAGCATGGTTGAGGGCCGTCTCCAAACTGCTGAACCACCCCTGGCTGTGTCAACATCAACTGTTACAGCACATTCCTCCTGTGCAGGGAGGGAATGTAGCCTTGGGACTAGTATGACCTTTCCAAAAATACGAACACCCAATACACCAAGAGACAGTATTCAGCTGGCCAAGAGACATCACAGCCAACCACATCCAGGGGCTAATTCTTTCCATCGTGTAATGCACTTAGAGACTAGCACTTTCCAGCCCATAACAGACCCTCCAGTCTGCCCTGGGCTCGTGGAAGAGACAGATATTGATGATGATGGAGTATTGGAGAAGATGGATACAGAATGTGGACTGCTGAGGGAAGAAGCTGGAGCATGTGAGGAAATGTACCACTTACCTGCAGGGCAGAGAGAAGCTGTGAGTTCTGAGACTGGCATACTGGACCCAGGAGGTAAACCTCCAACACCACCGCTGCACAGGTTCCCATCATGGGTAAGAAATGCAAGGACAACAGGCTGAGAAGTGCTACTTGTCTTTGAGTAGTGCCCAGTAGTTAGGCTACAACAGCTCAAGCAGTTGTTACCTGTGGACATCACAGGTTACATTCTTGAAGCACCAAGTCTTACAGTTCCAGCATGACAGGGAAATGCTGGTTCCACTGACAATTTTTTTTTCTCCTTTTGTCTTTATAAGGGGAAAAAAATTCATGGAAAAAAACAGTGCTCAAGAAACACAGGAATATAAAGGAAAGTCAAGAGGTGCTGCATTGTGGTTTAGCATTATGAGTCATCAAAAGTTAGTTGTCACATGTGTAAGATAGAAAAATTACTCATAAATGCAGTGGACCAGACAAGATAGCTCCAGAGTGAGAAAAATCTGTGAATACTAGAATAAATACATGGATTAGATCTCAGCATTCCTATCTCATGGTATGCTTCTGCTATTAGGAAAATTTTATGAAAACCTTTAGTAAAGTGGTATACATGTCCTGTTGCTTACAGTATGTGAGAAAGGGGTTTGTTGTTCTTGCTTTCAGTTACTTGTTAGCTGGATTGTTTGCTAGTCATAGAATTGTTTAGGTTGGAAAAAAGAAAAAGCCTTCCCCTCAACCACTGACCAGGTTACCTTGTCACAGAAGGAGATCAGGTTGGTCATACAGGACTTGTCTTTCATAAACCCATGCCAGCTGGACCTGATCAATTGGTTGTCCTGTACATGCTGTGTGATGGCACTCAAGATGATCTGCTCTATGACCTTCTCCACCACTGAGGTCAGGCTGACAGGTCTGTAGTTCCTCAGATCCTCCTCTGGCCCTTCTTATAGATGGGTGTCACATTTGCCAACTTCCAGTCACCTTTGACCTCCCCGGTTGACCAGGACTGCTGGTAAATGATGGACAGTGGCTCAGTGACCTCTTCAGCCAGCTCCCTCAGCACCCTGCTGTGGATCCCACCTTGCCCCATAGACTTGTGCGTGTTTAAGTGGTGTTAGCAGGTGGGTGAGCATTTTTCCTGGGATCGTGGGGGCTTCATTCTGCTCCCTGTCCATATCTTCCAGCTCAGAGGGCTGGGTACCTGGAAAACAACTGGCTTTACTATGAAAGACTGAAGCAAAGAAGGCATTAAGTACCTCTGTTGTTTCCTTATCCTTTGTCACTGTGTTTCCTACCGTATCCAATAAAGGATTGTTATTCTCCTTTTGTTTCTCATGTATTTATAGAAGTCTTTTAGTGTCTTTTACTGCAGTAGCCAAGTGAAATTCTAGTTGGACTTTGGCCCTTCTAATTTTCTCCCTGTATAACCTGCCTTTAGTCCTTCTAAGTTGCCTGCCCCTTCTTCTAGAGGTCATAAACTTTCCTTTTTTTACTGAGTTAAGCCAAAGCTCTCTATTCAGCCAGGCCAGTCTTCCTCACTGTCTCATCTTTCAGCACATGGGGACAGCCTGCTCCTGCACCTTTAAGATTTCCTTCTTGAAGAATGTTCAGTTTTGCTGGACCCCTTTGCCCTTCAGGACTGACTCCCAAGGGACTCTGTCAACTTTGGCTCCTAAAGAGGCCAAAGTCTGCATTAGTCTAACCTGGTGGAAATCAATGTAGTATCAAAAGAGATGATTTTGTTGTTTTTATTTGCTTTTTTAAAAGACATGGGCAAACAAGTGATTTATTGAAGGTGCAAAGTCAAACACTCATTGTTAATTCTTATGTTTTATAAATTTATTTTCAAGGAAGACTAAATGTTAATTGTGGTCTTTGGCTGTATCCTTTGTGATACCAATTTAAACCCCAGTATAATCACATCCGCTTTTCCGAAGGAATTTCTTTTCTTTCCAGTCCATAATCTGGAACTGTGCTGGGAGTGAAGGTGGATAGTGTGGTAAAAGAAACTGCAATTTTTCAAGATGTCTGTTTCATTTGCTGCAGAAGTCAGAAAGGTGTCAATGAACAGGGTACTCACTTGGAAGAAGGGAAATATGACTCAGAGATTGGTTACTATTCCTGTCTCTGATCTAGAGTTCCCATATAAAGTTCTTCTAGTCTCTTAAGCTTGATTTTTCATAGGTGATTATCAGCTCCACACACATCCTTCTGAATGTCTAACTTGAATTTGGCAACTAAATTTGATTACAGAAGTGCTGATCACTTCTGTGATGCAACTGTATTAATTTGTTTTCATTACAATGTTATATGATGCTAAATTCTCAAAAAGTCACACCTTGGACATCTTGAAATGGGTACTCCAAAGTTATTGAATACTTCAAAGAACTTATGTCTGAGTTCTTCTGAAAAACTTATGTCTGAGTTCTTCTGATAGTGCCCATCACTGTCTCTCCCTGGGTTAATGTAAATTTTTTTATTAATTTTTGTGAAGCATTGCATTATTATTGTCAGTAACACACGAAAAATCCAGTATTTTTTCTTCAGACTAGAGTCAAGTAAATGTATCCAAGTAGGGCAAATTTAAGTATAGTAATTTAAGTAACAGTAAGTCATGAATAGAATAATAAATAGTAGCATAATCAGTAAGAAATATCCATTTCATTCCCTGAATAGGAGTTGTCTGGGGAAAAAGATTCACATAGTATTTCATTAGAAACTAAATTTCAATGCAAATACATACAGAAAATACTTATTCTGTAATTTCTTTTTTTGTGTGTGTGTACTTGACTTTGCAGTCTTAGGTACTTTCATGTGTATGTATTGTGTGCTATTTCATAGTGATTAGCTGTATGCTTTTAAGAGCAGCAAGAGGTTTCCTAGCTTTGGATTTTATCCATTTCAGAATGGTTAATGTCTTAGTCACAATACTGCGTTTAGATACAGATTTGGGTTTTCCCGCTGGAATTGTTACCAATTCATGAAGCACTTGGAGAGCCTTTGAACTGAAAGCTCCGTATGTTGTTATAACTGAGACACAGGCTTACTGAGATCATTCCAGCCATTTCTTTCATTCCCTTATCAGAGAATGGGCATCCCTGCAGGTGGTGACTCAATAAATTGTCCTGGTTTGTGGCAATTCTTTATTCATTTTAATGCATTGTTTATAAAGTGGAAACCTCCCATCTTTTTCCAAGGTGTGATATAGTAATTTATTGATAATTGCGTGTAGGTGTTCCAGTCTGTGATATCATCTCTGTAGCTGGGGATTCACACAGAGTAACATGCTTCCACTAATGGTCATTCACACAACATAGGGTGGAATACAGCAATCTCAGAGAGCCCCTCCTTCCTGCCCAAAGGTGTGACTGTGGTGTGATTCTGTGACATGAGCATTTCTTTCTGCAAGAATCACATTTTTGTCTGATCACTGTTGTTCATGGTATTATTGTTTCAGGAGAGCCGAATCTATGCTGTGGCCAAGTCTGGCATGAGGTTGTCTGAAGTGGCCATGGTGAATGATACTTCCAGATGCTGTAAGTTCTAGACAAGATCCATCCTTAGAGGGGGTTTATGGTGCCAGTGTGGTACCTGGGCTTCTGGCTGTTCACATGTCTTCATTTCCTTCCCTGTTTTCAAAGTAAAATTGATCTCATAGATAGCCATGATAAAGAAAGGACTGGAGGAGGACACATCTGATCTCAGGAATGGTTTGTGCTGGGCTCTTTGTGCCTCTACATTCCGTGACATGTTCAGGGATTCCATTATCTCCTTCATCACTTTTGTAGCCACTCTTCTGCTTCTGCATGTCTGTGGCCTGCTTTTAGTCTTATTCACCAGCACTGTCCCCTGCTAGGGCTTTTATCTGTTTGGACATGGGGCACCAGATTGCCATTGTACCATGGAGTGGGTAAGATGTCTTACAGGCTAAATGGAGAGAACTTTGCAGCTCTCTGTGGGAGTTGTATGTTAATAACACATTCCTTGGCCTTTTTGAGGCCACATTGTCCAGGATGGCAATCCTTGATATGCTTCTCCATTAAAACCTTCACTTTTTCACCAGTTTGTATTATTTGCTCTCTTGCATTCTCTCTGAATTTTTCCAGTTTCCAACTTCTCGTGTTCAACCTCTGGGCCATTTACCTGTCTCATCTACAGAAACGTCACTGTGCCAGTCTACACTACACTGAAGGGGGTAAGGAGTTACCTTACTTTTCCTGTTATGAAAAGCATGGTCCAGGCCTGCTAGTAATTTTAGAGAAAACAGGATGAAGCTGTGCAGCGAAGGAACAAAAATTAGAGAATCTTGGGAAGCATTGGACACCAAAAGAATGCTGAAGGAGTAGCAAATGATAAATGTGTTTAGGAATGCAGAACACTGCAGCAGTTTTGGTCCAGGAAGCTGCAGTGTGCACTATGTGGCTGTAGAAACCTAGAGGTGATGGTGGGTGCAGCCTAAAGAATGAAATGGAGCACAGGGCTTGTGGAACAGTATGAGGGCATAACCAGAGGAGACCCAAACAGATGGGACTAGACAGTCCAGCATGGAAGTTCTCAGACGAGAAGGGGAGGAAATGAAGAACCCTGGGGCAGAAGTGGGCAAGGTGGTGTGAAAATGAAGGGCATTGGTTGCTCTGCTTCCTTATTGAGTAGGGATTGTCCTGAAGAAACTCTTCTCTCACGCACTAACCAATACACATCTATTTTCCAGAAAGCCACACAGATCAGCAATGTGCCTTTCTTAGACGAATCTTCAGGATCTGATGATGACTGTGGCTCCCATGCCAGCTTAAGGACTTCTACTGCTGGATCCGAGAACAGGAAAGCTAGCATGCCAGGCAGCCCTCGTGCAGTGAAAAGAGGTAAAGTGGGAGTATTGCTACTGAGCAGGATGAACTCTTGTCATGACAGGAGAGGTAGGATGCCCCGAACAGCATCATCAGTGACAGGCAAATGCTCAGCCATAGTGATGCTACTAAGGAGTTCTCCCAGAATGTGTGCAGACATCAACAACTACTCGGTAGAAATCTGTTCTCTTAGGTGGTTTTACTGCTGATAGATTTCCATTCAGGCAATTGCTAAACTTAGATTGTGGGAAGGATTATCTCTCAAATTCATCACATATCCAGTTGTCTGTACCTTTTCTGTGACTTTTCCTTGAAAGCAAGCTAGTACTGGCATAGTAAAGAAAACGCTTTTTTTGTCTTTGTCACTGGCTGGTAATTGCTTGACCAGTAAGGAAATCTTTCCTATCTTTGAGAGGCATCAGATACTTTGCGTACTGATTAGGACATTTTTTCTTACCTGCTGGGAAGGCTAAACTGGATCTTTGAATGGAATTTTCATTATAATTGGTAGTCAGTAAAATAGAATCATATTTCATGTAGTCTTAACTTGCATGCATTGGCTGATGTGTCTCTGCATTGCCATGGACCACTGGTGGAAGATTCACAGAAAGCAAAGCCCCTTTTCCTTAGTTGGAATCTGAGGGGCTTTAGACTTCATAATGGATGTTTAGAGCTGCAAACAATCTGTCTGTCCTTTAGATAACAGGTCTGTTTATTTTTTTAAAATATTTTTTATTCTGTCTTTATTCAACAATAAATTTATTTCACTGTCAGTATCCAAAACTCACTTTCACTACTTGTGTTCCTAGGGAAAAGAGTTCTCAGAAGTCTGGTTAGTGGGGTTTAGGTTTCCAAAGTCTGATCTGATTTCTTCTTCTTGAACAAAAAAAGCCTTAGTGGTTGTGGCAGTTTGAGCCACATTAGAAATCTAAAATCCAATTTTCCAGGCTTCCCCCACCCCTTTCCAAAATTTATCCCATCACCGGAGAGAAACTTTCAGGCCAGAGGCTTCTATAGGGGAAGGGGGAATTATATACATTTATTTACACAAATAAATATACTGTACAAACTAAAAGCAACTATATATATATATTATTACATTTCTGTCAGTCCTTTTAGCCCCTCCCTTTAACTTTAGTCCAGAAAAGAGCCTTTCAAGGCTGGGAAGTAACTAGTCTCTCCTGGGAGTGTTCTGGGCCTGAATGCTCCTCCCTCACCAAGCTCCAGGTGTTTGTTGCAATCTCTCCTCCTCATGAAGTCCAAGAAGATAGCTTTAAGTCTTTTCTCTTCTGCTGCTGTGTGATCTCTCTCTCTCATACCTTGGTTCGTAGGCTGCTGCAGTGTAGCTTATCAACATACATGACCTGGAATCATCATTCCTCCAAGTCAGTTTTCGGCTGCCCCCAGTCAGCTTCGGCAGGGCAACTCCTGAGCTCTTGGCCCGTCTCCAATTTCGCCTGGGATTCTTCTCCCAAGCGCCGAGCCTCCTCCTCTGGCCCGTCTCTTGGCTCAGCTTCAATGCTGAACCTCTCCTCCACTTACAGTGGAGGGAAAGAAAAAGCCCCCCTCTACAGCTTCACTGCAGAAAAGGAGGGGGGAGAGGGCTTGGCTGCAAAGCCTGCCTCTCTCCTCTTACCTCAAGTGCTGTAAAATCTCTTCTTTCACAGCACACACTCCAAATGCTGCCTCCAACTCCGGCCCAGGCAGAGTTGGTGGGGCCGCAGGGCTCCCCTCTCCCCGCTGGAAGGGGGAGGCAGGGGGAAGGAGCCCAGCCACCCCCTGGCCTTTTCCACCTACACGCAGACACCAACAGCAGAACTTGCCAACAGCTTCCCGTGCTGTGTATATATGATTTTTAGCAGAAGCAAACGACATGGACAGTGATTGGCTCTCCAGGGAACACTGCCCTGACACTCAATCACCTCTGAGCCCCCCAGCCTCTCGGGGGGGGCAATTTCAAACCATGACAGTGGTGAACTCAGAAACTTTTTCAGAGTGGGAAAAAGTTCAGTGCATGCTTCTGTCTAGCCATGATTCTCATTCCTTCCTTTATTTTAAACAGGTGTATCTATGTCCTCACTGAGCTCTGAGAGTGACTATGCCATCCCTCCTGATGCCTATTCCTTGGATGATGACTATTCAGAGCCAGAACATAAGCTACAGCGAACATCTTCCTATTCCACTGATGGTGGAATCTGCACTGTAAGTCTTACTACATTACAGTTGTAAAGGAATGCAAACAGAGCCTTAGCCTTGAAAAAGCATAACTACAATATATTGAGTTATCCCCTGCAAAGTGATACTCTGACAGACTGGGCTGTTGGTCCAGCTGATAGGTATCAAAAGACACTATCTGATATTTCAGAAGGAGGTGCAATTTCTCTTATGTGGTTAGATTAAAGTATGTACCTCAAGCGCTGTATTCTTTTCTGATGGCCTGTATTGATTTCCTGTAGTCATATTCTACTTTAATGATGGCCTTACACTTTTGGGACAAAACAAGTTTGGAAATTCAGAGGAAGGAATGAGACAGGATATAATATTTTGGCCTAGAAAAAAACCCTTAAACACGGGTAGCATTAAATTCTGTACTCTTGAATGTGAGAGATCAAGCAGACAAGGAACAGGAGTCTAATCATGGCATAGAGACAGCCTTCACTTTTATTTGGAAAATCAGTGCTTTGGTAGGAAGACAAGTAAGTTTACAATGCATCAAACAAACAGTGAAATCATCTTCAGATGCCTTCTTTACTAAAGCAACACAAAGTGGTATTTGCAGCTACACAGATAGCTTAGGACTCTCTCCAAACTGAGCAGAGAGCACTGACCTTTGATGGCTGCTACTAAACAAAGCAGAAAATGATGGAGATGCAGAAAACGTCTGGACTTTTCAGCACACTTTCATTTGTATTTTGAGAGGTGCAGGATAATCTACTCTCCGCTTTGTTTTTTGCCCTCCAGGAACCCATGGAGAAATCAGGTTACTTGCTCAAAATGGGCAGCCAGGTAAAGATGTGGAAGAGACGATGGTTTGTTCTTAGAAACAGACAAATCATGTACTACAAGTCTCCGGTAAGTCACTGGGATACATTTACTATTCTCTGGAGGCACAGAGAAATACTCATCAGTCAGTACATGGGGTTCTGAGGAAAACTACAGCTTCCATGGGGAAGAAAGCTAGATTCTTTCATTTTTCACCCTGCTGCATGGACATGAAAGTACTAGAAAACTAGGGTAAAATTGAAAATAAGCCTTCATGCAGACAAAATTTGTATGTACGATAAAATACTGCTATTGTTTGCCTTCATTATTCTGCTCTATTTAGCCACATTACAGAGAATTATACTTAGGGATGTTCACCTTCCACAATCTTTTCTTCTGGACAGTAATTTCCTCCATACCTGCATAATTACACAGTATTTCTGTGTTTATACACATCTTTACTTACAAGTTAAGAATATTGAGAAGATTGATTTTCAACTTTTTCATTTTCTCAGTTGTCATATTCTAACAAGAAAAAATACATCCTAGGGCACAGGGCATCTTTATTTCTGACACTGGGTTTATCCATCAGAATGCACAAGCAGATTATACATATATATTATATTCATATATATATATATATAAATAATTTCATAAATACTTAGAATTTAGACTGTTGTTGGAAGTGATTTCTGGAAGACCCTAGTCCAACTAACACATTGAAGAAGGACTGTCATCAGCTGTTGATGGTTTTGTCCCAAACCAATGGTTTTGTCTAGCCCAATCTTGAAAACTTCTAAAGGTGGAAATTCAGCCACCATCTTGGTACATGTTTGGTACTGTATTGCCTTCCCAGTGAGAAAGGCTTTAGTCTGTTGATGGTTTGGATTTTTTTCCTAATGTCCAATTTGAACTTCATAAGACAGTATTTGTCACCATTACCCTTGTTTTATTGTCTGCCACTACTGAGGAGACTTGCTTCATCGTGTCAGTGGGATCACGCTGCCTCAGTCAACCTGGCAGGCTTCAGCTGTCCTTTCCATCTCATGAATGCAGACTCTGACCTGCACATGCACATCTGAGGTTTCCTGCTGAAAAAACTGCTTTGCTCTTTCCTCAGAGCGACGTTATCCGCAAACCACAAGGGCAGATGGAGCTGAATTCCTCATGCCAAATTGTCAGAGGTGAAGGGTCCCAAACATTCCAGGTAGGCATTGCTTTTTATCCTGCAGATAACCATACACTCAGTGGTTGTGTGAGTGAGATAGTACCTAGGATCTCCTCTTTTTGAAAAACTCTTACAAGATCTCTAGTGTGATTTTACATGCCTGGAGGATCTGAAGAAACATCTGAAGTGCTGGTTTCCTACTTTTGAAGTACTAGAAGTTAGCCAATCAGTGGATTCAGTTTTACATCATTGTGTTAGGGGATTTTATAATAAAGGCAGCATTGAAGTTTCTCTCATACTCTGAAAGGCACATGGCCTGACCTGTGAGCTACTTTCTGCTCTTATGGAATTGAAGTTGCTAAGACTTAATGCTATTAAATTCATTGCATCTTTCCTTTCAGAGTCACAAGGTAGTGAATGCAGAATGCAATACAAAGTGAAGGCAGCAAAAACCTCACATTTATGTAGACACCTTTAAAGTGAAAAATTAGGAGCAGCACTGAGAAACAAGAAAATATGAGAGAGGACATAAAGCCTCAATATCCAAGAGAAACAGCAAGAGAGTTCATGAGAATTTGATTGATTTGAGTTTCGTTTCTTTCACTTGGGCTTTGAGGATGAGCACCTTTTTTCTTACCCTCAAAAAATCCCTCCCTAATGACCAAAAAAAAAAAACAGTATGGGATAAAGAAACTCAGCAGCTGAAGAAAAGATTTATAGGTGTGCAGATTTATATTTTCTCACTCCTTTTCCTTCCAGCTTGTGACAGAAAAGAGGACCTACTTCCTGACAGCAGACTCACCCAACATCCTAGAGGAATGGATTCATGTCCTACAGAGTATTCTGAGAGTGCAAGTGACCAGTCCTGTTGGTGTTCCTCATAGTGATGAGAAACCTACTGTGAAAGGTTGGCTAACCAAGGTAAAATAATATTTCATACTTTATTCAGTTTAGATCGGCATTGACAGTGTACCAGCTTCTTGGTTTGTACAGTAAATGTGAGCAAGAAATTAGTATTTCAATACTCCGTATAAGAGTAGGGGAAGAAAGAAAAGTGTCAGTAGATTTCTGCATTTCAAAGCAAAACATCTATATAAATGATAAGGAATGAGACAAACAAGGCTACTGAAAGATACCGACTTTGTCAAATAGTAAATAATAACAAATATCTAGCTTATGTATGCTTTTCTTCAACAGAATTCACAGCATATCACAGCAAAAAAATCAGGAAACTGTTAAATATCACATTTAGTTGGTCTGTAACTTGGAGAGTTCCAAGGAAATGGCTTGTATGGTTCTAGGTTAGCATTTATTGCAGTCATAACAGACTGCATGTACATTAGTGCAAAGAACAAAGGCTGAGAATTCTTATGCTTTATACCACTTCCATAGATTAGTTTTGCATTGCAAGTTACTATGAATATTTTAATATATTTCTGATCAGCTTCTAAGATGGCTAAAGACAACCTGCATGTGAAGGTTGTTTGTCTGCAACACAGGTTGCTCCCCACACTACAGGTTGACTGGTCTTTTCCTGGTGAGATGAACTGATTTGGTTTTATAATTTTAAATAGGTGATTCTTCATATTGTATCTCAGAATACAGAAATTCTTCATATTGTATTTCAGAAATTATAAATTATGAATGAGTAAAATACTTCACAAAATCTTAGACCTATTTCCATAAGCACCTATGTCCCATCTTCTTAGATGTACTTTCCTGCTTTTGGAAGTGGTGCCCTGTTATGTTTTGAGAGAAGCTTTATATTAGCATAAGACAAATAACATATGCAAGGTTTTAAGGGAGAGTTGAATTGGAAGTTGAAATTCTAGAAAATTGTTCCAGCAACACTGCTGATGTTAAAAGCATGTATTTCTTGTCCTCCTTACAGGTCAAGCACGGTCACTCTAAGCTGGTCTGGTGTGCACTGATTGGAAAAACTTTCTACTACTATCGAAATCATGAAGATAAAGTAATTCCTTTTTCCCTTTTTATTTCTAAACTCTTTTTCCCCATTTCTCATGAATCTTTCTTTCCTTTTACTGCTTCTGTGTCTCATGCTTCAAGCTCTTCCTTGGTTGTACTTTTCCTCTTCTAACAGCATCTCTTCCACAAAGAGAATCAATATTTTCTCTGATTTTATTTTTTTTAAACTAGAATGACAGCAAACTTAAAAGGCAAGTGACTGAACTTTCTCATATCACTGTATATCTTGTTTCTCACTTTCTCCATTTGGTCTTGTCAAGCCTTTAGAGCAGACTTTAATACAGCAGCTGATATATCTGCATACTGTCATGAAAATTAATAGCAACAATATGGGAAAAGGGGGGTAATTTAGTTAGTAGAATGTCCTTCTATTTCTGGAAGCTTGGGCCAATAGTACATTGCTTTGTCCTGGTGATCTCAAAACCCAAGTTTTAGAATATCAAGAAATACTGTTCATATTTGGGATTGACCTCCAGAGTTAGCACAGCAGATATCTTCTCTTTATCTGAATCTACTTACTTATGTAATTTTAGAAGTACTAATTTTCCATTAGCAAGCAGAAAGTCTGACCAGGATCAGAAAACAGTGGCTCAAGATACTGAGTAACTGACATCAAGTGTAATGGGAAGAAAACAGTACCTTATGGGAAAAGCCATCTTTTTATTTGCATATTCTCATTCTGACCTGTAGATGCTCTCCCAAGAAAAATAATAAAAGTAGTGGCATACTTTCTAAGTGTCACACTTTATGAAAGAGAAGAGATTCTATAGAAATGCAAGATTACAGTAGCTAAACACTGAATTTATTATTTATTCCTTACATTTTACAGAACTGCCAACATTTTGATCTGGCTTTTCTTTCCCAGTATTCCCTGCCTATAGTGGAAGATTGTCTACCCTTATCTAACTCACTTCTGCTCTAGCTACACTTACCTAACTCGCTTCTGCTCCTTATAGTGTCCCCTAGGGCACCTGCCTATGCGTGAGTCCAAAGTGGAAGAAGTAGACCGTTCCTGTGACTCTGATGAGGATTATGAAGCCACTGGTGGAGGATTTCTCTCATCCCACTGTACACTGGTGATTCACCCACAGGACCAGAGTCCCACATACTTACTCATCCGCACCAAGCAGGAGAAGGTATAAAAGACAGTCTTTTTTTTTGGAGAGAAGAGTCTGTTTGGTAATAGTGAACAAAGGGGTCATACAGGCTGAACCTGTTTGTAGAAAAGAGGTCTGAATTGACCCACACTGTGCTCATCTTTATGCCTAGAATACCTGGCTGTACCATCTGACCGTTGCAGCTGGTAGCAGAAATGCCACAGTGGGCACATCATACGAGCAACTCATTGGAAAACTACTGGATGCAGAGGGAGACCCTAGTAAGTAGAAACCACAAACTCTTCCATGGTAGCAAAATATTAAGAAGAGTAATTTCAACTTTCAGTTTTAATCCAGCCAGAGGTGAGGGAAGGGGATTTCAGTAGTACATCATATTACATAATGTCCTTCTCCCCTAGTTCCCAGACAAGTCCATCTCATTGTCACATCATTTATCAAAGCCTCTGAAATGTGTGTAATGTTAATTCAAATGAACATAAAGAACTGGAGGGGGTTTTTTTCCTGGTTTTGTTGGTCTTGATTTTCCTTTCCAGGGAATCTTGACCATACAAACACATGCTCCTTCCTCTAAATACACTCACACACAATTACCTTCACATCTGTTTGTCTGCATGTGTAAACCCTTACACATACATCCATGTTTGTCTGTTCCTCCTCATCTTTGGTACATGCTCATGCATGTATGTTTATGCACCATGTTCTCAAATATGTATTAACCTATGCATTCGTACTTAATCCTCTTTTCCTGCACACTCACATATTCCTGGACCTCTATGTGAACCTTGCTTACTGTTGAACAGTGACTTGCACTAAAAAAGAACAATACCAGCAGGCAGTTGCCCTGGCAGACTTTGTGTCTCTGGTTTGAATACACAGCTGAACAGCTTCTTACCAGAAGAGCTGATGAGAAGCTCTGACATAGCACAGTTGAGGATGGCAATACTTTCTGCTGATGGCTAATGCTGCCGGTGACTCCTTATCTATGGCAGGCTTTGCTGAAAGCAGTGAAGTGTCACCAAATAACATGGCCTAGTGCAGTGCTGCTTCCTTGGGTGCTCTGCTGTTTCAGCAATGCTCCTCTTCAACACTGGCACTGTTGTCTTTCTTCTGTTTCTGACATTGCATGGTTTTGCCCATCTCCTACCTCAGATTCTCCTCTGTGGAAGCATCCTATGTTGTGCTACAGTAAAGACGGGTTGCACACATCCCTCACCACTCTGCCATCGGAGGCTCTGCAGACTGAAGCTCTGAAACTTTTTAAGGTATTGAAAGGGACGTTGCATGATTTTCAGTTATTTTGCTCTGTTGTTGGGGCAACAACAGTATTTCGTCATGTTTTCACATTTACTGTCGCTATTGGTTGTTTTAGACAAGCCTGCTGGGTTATTTAATTACAATAGGATAGTTGAATATTAGGTGTCATTCATTCTTTAGAGGTTTAATTTTTTTTGTGCGTAATCTGGGTTTAGGAGTACTGTCCCCCACAAACTTTATCCTTCAAAGTTAGCTTTATCTTCCTCTTTCCTCTCCAATAGTCAGATTGAAGGAAATAGAAACAGTTTACTGGCAAATTCAGTAAGACCAGTGGTGAAGCCACTGGAGATTGCATTTTTGCACTCTACAAGTGTAAGATCAGCAGTAAGACTGGACAGTGTGAGCAAGGTAAAGCACAGGCATGGAAGGCAGAAAGCACATTTTCCCCTTGATTCTCTTGCTGACTTGTAAGTTCTTCAGACTGGGGGAGGTTGAGTGAATTTTCTAGTTGCCATAATTGAAGAGGTAGGAATAGGAATTAAGTATTGATTCTCCTTCCTCCTCTCAAGGTTATTTATTAATTGTCTGTAACGCATCTGAAGAACCTGGCCTGGAAAGTACCAGAGAAGAGTTGCTGTATTCATGGCATTGACTAACTTCCATTCTTTTACAGTCCTGTCAGCTGTTCATCAACGTTCCCGTGGAGGCATCCTCTGTTGATTACCATGTGTCACTTGCCCAGACGGCACTGCAGGTCTGCTTGACCCATACTGAGCTGCAGAATGAAATTTATTGTCAGCTTGTAAAACAGACCAGCTGCCGACAACCCCAGAACCACTCAGTCATTCAGGTCAGCTCCTCTTCTGTTCCTTCCACTCTGCAAATACTTGCTATTTAATTCCTTGTTTTTAATAATTAGCAATGAGACTGGTTCTCACAAAATTGTGCTAGCGCTAAAGGTGTGCTAGAGGAAGGAGAATCTCAGCACTGTTGTGCACAGAAAAACACTAAGAATGTAACCATGTGCAAAATAAGTTTTAGTTTAAATTGCAAATGGTCTGTTCAGACCATATTCAGAATCAAAATTCATAGGTTGTGTCGGCTAGCTATAACTGTCACATGGTATTAATTTCCATTAAAATCTTCCATTTTAGATAATCAACAGCACACAAATCATCAATATTACTATTAAGCATGAAATCTGGATTTTGCACTATAATTACTGGATAAATTAAATAAATAAGTTACAGTATGAATGGGCATACTCATTTATAATATTCCCAGCTCAAATGAGAAATTAAAATCAGGTTAAAGAATAATGGGTCTAATATGAAGCAAAATACAAAACAAGGATGATATCCAGTTTTATGTTCACAGTGCTGGCAACTCCTTGCTTTATGTGCTCCTCTATTCCTGCCTCAACATCACTTCCTCTGGTACATCAAACAGCACTTGCAGCGACATGCAGACCCCAGGTAAGGACTGCAGCAGCATTTTCTTCTGCTAAGCCAACTGCCTTTTGCATCTACAACAAACAAAGAGGGAAGCATTTGTAACACACACCTGCAAAAACATGTTGAGAGAGAGGACAGGTTTCCAATGGTATAAAGCTGTGCCCCTTCAGTCATTCACATTAATTTGTCACTTAGACTAAGCTAGTTCACAAAAGAGAGTGACCTATATTAGCAAAAGAACTTTTTGCAGATATAACTGGAGCTACATAGGGAGATGTTTTCCTAATGCAGCAACTTTCTTTTATTGATAAAAGACAGATCAAAGTAATTATTTAGAATGAATTATTCAAATTTTAGGTGATAACATTCTGCTGTCAGGTTAGTAGGCATAGTGACAGAACAAAAGTGAGGCAGAAGACATCTCAGGAAACTGTAAAAAGTTAGGAAAAACTAACAAAACTGAAATAAATGTTTTCTGTTGCCATTTTCCCTTGAAAGAAAACAGTACTAGATCTACAGTAAGGGCAGTAACTTTTTCTCCATTGTTCATGCTGTGCTCTTAGTTTGTTTCCATGCTGATCTCATCTTCAACATATCTCACTGTGTCCTTAGGGGGAAGGTCACAGCTAGACATGTCTAGTTGCCTGTTGCAACAATATACTCTTGTTAAGCCATAGGTAAAAGAGTTGTTTCCTTTCAAGCAAATATTCATATTCTAATAATAATTCTAAGTCTGCCTTGGAATTCAAGCCACAAGTTTCCTGGCACTGCAGAGAAATCTGTGTCCTCCTATCAAATCTTTTTCATTTTCTTATATGCTGCCTCACATTTGCAATTTCTTCTCAGAAGTGAAAATATGGATATCAGGCACTCCTCAATGTTCAGGTTCTCTGTCTGTTTGCTAAGACAACATGTTAGGGATCTTTTATGTAGGATTAGAAACCATCTCTTCAAACCTGTGTGCATTACCAGCTCCCAAACTGGCCCATTCAATCCAGTAGTGAAGCTGCTGTGGGGAACTACTGAATTTCATAAGGATGTGCTGGGCTCTGTGAAACTGATCTGTTTAATTAGTTTCAAACATTACTATGCTGATGGTCTACTAGGTTCTTAGCCCAAAAGTACCTTTATCAACAAATATCCTCTAAGCAGAAGCAAAGAGGAAATTTATTTACACAATCCAGCTATGAAACAATTATTAGGGCTAGAAAAAACCCAGAAATTATGTGAAAATGTGTCTATATTCATCTGTAGTTTACATTAGATTTAGAGCAGTTGCTAAGTATGACTCAGCTTGGTTCCTCCTGCCTAGCTCTAGGAATACATAAGTCTCTTTGGCTGTTTCTTGACTAGTTAAATAGATATACTTTCCCTGTTTCACACAGCAAAGCAAGATACTCGAGTGTTTACAGTGCATAATGTCTATGGTCTAGATTTATACTAGATCTTAATTCTAGGTATTGTTTTTCATGAAAGGTGACCTTAGAGTATATCCAGTGTCTTAAAGAGGAAGCAAAGTGGGGCAGAGTTCTAGGTGAGAAGACACAGGGCTCAGGAGCATTTGGAAGCCAGACACAACAGGTTCTTGTTGAAGCAAGATTCCCTATTTGAAAATTGTCCAAACGTATTACTGGGGAGGTAAGCAATATATTGCTACAGTGAAAAGCCAGAACTCCTGACTTCCATGTTGCTTTCAGGGATTTAACCAGAGGTTTAATCATGTACTGAGCTGCTAAGGGCATCTTGAATGGGATTAGTTTCCCCCGCAAAGTGATAGCACAATTATAAATCTATGTAAGTCCTTCCATTTCAAAACTTATTCAGTATATACATTCTTAACATTTTTTAAAAGGTATAATTGATCGTTCCTGCTTGGCTTTAGTGACACATTTTTTTGGTGCTGTTCAATGGAGCACTCTCTTTAGTAGGCAGTAAACTATACCTATCCTTTATTGAACTATCAATAAATCTAAGCTTGCTTTGAATCTCTGTCAAGTCTCTTGACTGGCAGATAGGGTTAATACATGGAAATTATAATTTGTATAACCATGTAAACTGATAAATACAACTTGTGTAATCCTGTGAGACTAATGCATTACAATCTATTATTAATATTTACCAGGACTTGATATAATAGTAACTAAATTCCACTGGCATGACAGCAAGTTTGAGGGTGAACAAGTCTTGGCTTAACGGATACTATGGTGCCAATAGGGTACAGAAGAGAATATTCCTATACTATGTCCAGTCCACCTAGAAGTAGGGGATGCTCTTGTGCTTCCTGGAGAGTCTGTTGTCTACCTTAATTTTACAGGTCCTTGGAGCTCAGGTTTGTGTTGTAGCTTTTCACTTGAGCTGTTAGTCTGTTGAGATGAACAATACACCTGCACAGAGATATATCTTTGCTTGAGAAAAAGCCTGAGGGAGGAATGCTTTGTCATGACATGGGAAATTGAAGAGAACATGGCACTTAGAGCATGTTCATGTTTTTCTCCACCTCTTCACCTAGGAGTGAAATAGGCAAATATGCCATCTACTGCCAGAGATCAGTAGACCGCACGGTGCAGGCTGGAGAGCGGGAAGCCAAGCCCTCCCGGATGGAGATTGTGTCCATCCTTCTAAGAAATCCCTACCACCACTCACTCCCCTTCAGCATCCCAGTGCACTTCATGAATGGAACCTACCAGGTGAGCCACCACAGCTGCCCTTCTTCTGGGCACTAGAGGACTGCACCATAACCTGCCTCCTTCATATGGGTGGAACCATGGTAATTACACATATCAGATATTCGGAGATAGACACTACTTCTCCTCCTTGTCATTTTAGCTGTTTTCCCTGAGAAAATGAAAGGAATCCAGCCCCAGCTCTACAGGTCTTAGGAAGAAAAGATAGCTGGGGGAAATGGGCAGATGTCAAAAGTGCCTCAATATGGGAAAGAATGCGGTGTGAAGGGAGACAATAGTGCTGTCACTGGAGCTGGCAGTTAATTCTGAGACATTAATCTGTAGAAAACCAGCCTTCGTTAGTTGTGATACCCATCAGTGTCATGTTTCTTGAATTTTTCTTGTATCCTCAGTTAATTCCTCTTTCATTGCAGGTTATAGGTTTTGATGGTTCTTCAACAGTTGATGAATTCATCCAGCGACTCAACCAGGAGACAGGAATGAGGAAACCATCCCACATGGGATTTTCTCTCTTCACAGATGATCCTTCTGGCAGGAATCTGGAACACTGTTTGCAGGGCAACATGAAGGTATTTATTTTTCCCCTCTGCTACCTTCAGTATACATCTTTGAAGAATTGCTGAATGGTTAATAAACTGCTAAATAGCTAATAATTGTTTCTTAATGAATCAAGATCAAATAAAGTTGGATATCATCTATCTAGGTTAATAATCACAGATGAGATACTAATTCCTGCACTTGGGTCACAACAACCCCATGCAACCCTACAGGAAGAGTGGCTTGGAAAGCTGCCCAGAGGAAAAGGGTCTGGGGGTCTTGGTCAATGGCCAGCTGAACATGATCCAGCAGTGTGCCCAGGTGGCCAAGAAGGCCAATGGCATCCTGGCCTGTATCATAAATAGTGTGGCCAGCAGGACCAGGGAAGAGATTATTCCTGTGTACTTGGCACTGGTGAGGCTGCACCTCAAGTACTCTGCTCAGTTTTGGGCCCCTCATTACAAGAAAGATATTGAAGTGCTGGACTGTGTCCAGAGAAGGGCAGTGGAGCTGGTGAAGGGTCTGGAGGGTAAGTCATATGATAAGTGTTTGAGGGAACTGTGGTCATTTAGCCTAGAGAAAAGAAAGTTTAAGGGGGAACCTTATTGATCTCTATAACTACCTCAAAGGAGACTGTAGGGAGGCGGGGGATGGTCTTTTCTCCCAAGTAACAAGTGACAGGATGAGGAAATGGCCTCAAGTTGCTCCAGGGGAGGTTTAGATTGGCTATTAGGCAAAACTTCTCCGTGAAAGAGTTGTCAAGGATTGGAACAGGCTGCCCAGGCAAGTGGTGGTATTTGGAGGAATTTGAAAGACATGTAGATGTGGCACTTGGGGACATGGTTAAGTGATGGACTTGGCAGTGCTGGATTAATGGTTGGACTTGCAGATCTTAAAGGTCTTTTCCAATCTAAATGATCCGGTGATCCTATAATTAGCTCAGTCTAATCTGATATACTTCTTATTACAAAGCAAGTTCTAATTTTAGTAGATGATAAATTGGTCAATTTTAAAAAAGTCTTTAACTCAGATTTTCGCACATATTAAAGTTTAATTTGTCTTGATGACAAAATTGAAATATGACTGAACTAGTCAGCATGAGCATGATATCACAACCGACATCAAATGTGACACTCTTAATTGAGACAAATTTATGTTAGGCTGTGAGTCTTTTGGCATGTCTACATGAATTCCATCTATTGGATTATGAAGTATCTCCTTGCTGTCTCCAGATAACTCAGGCTTTCACTGTTGATGAGTGTACTTAGCACAGAAAGCTCTACTGAGTATGGCTTAAGAGTAGAGTGCCTCCGATCAAGGAAGAAGCAAAGCAGATAAAGTATTAACATCTGTGTCTTTCATATGGAGATTTTTACCCATGCTGCAGCTGAATGACTGCCTTAATTGAGCAGGCTAGCCACCATGAATGAGACACATCAGATTTTGGTACAAATCTGGGAGAATAATTTGTCATACAGAATTGATGGAAGAATAGTTGTAGTGGCAACTTTGAATAGACTCTGATACCTCTATGGAACTTACACAATCAGTGTTACACAGTGTAAAATCTGACATTAGGCAACAGAGGGAGAAGATACCAATAACTTTGAATTAGATGATTTGAAAAGGAAACTGCCACAGACAGTGCCAAATTATATAGTTTGCTTTCATGGCCTGATATAGATCAGATAATCTGGAGCTTTGCTTGTAATTGGACCACCATCTAGAGAGATGAGGTATCAGAGTAAACAGAGGAGCTTGAGACAATCAAAGGCATTACTTTTACTAGTTATTATTTACTTGCCAAGGCAATCTCAATAGCTTCTTAAGAGAGTTTTAGAGATCTGATTATGTATTTCATGTGGATTCTTATGTTCACATTCCTTTTATTGAGATGCCATCAAAAGAGAAGTAGGGGTCTTCATTAAACCACTTAGAAAAGGACTGGAATAACCAATAGAGCTGAATGGAACTAAACAAATTAACCATGTTATTACTAAAAATATGTCTGAGTTACAAAGTTGGAATCCAGGACCAAAGTTTGGACATTTGCATCCAAGGGTTTGGTTTAGCCATGCGTGTAGACAGCTACTGTTCAGAGGATACATTAGTGCTTTAGTCTGGCTTGGGAGGGCACTTCTGAAGCAAACCTACCAATCATTGCTATTAACCATGCTTTGACTCACATTAAGGAGTAACCTGAGAGCATGAAATTGATTCCTTTTATGTGAAATATGAACTGGAAGATGTGACTCAAAATAGTAGTGAGCTTTCAGGTCACTTAATCAGACTAAAGCTAATCCAGTGGAAAATCCTTTAAAACTCATATAGTGTGGGCATAGAGATTTAGGAATGGGTGTTTCTCTGTGCGTATCTGCTCCTCCTGAGCTTTGCTATTTGCTAATGTAGACACAACCACAAGAGTTACTACCAGACCAGAATTCATTTAAACATGCTCCCCTGCACATTAGAGCTGGAGTTTTCAGTTGGAATGCTTTAATTTTTACATATTGTGTAACAGAAAAAAGTGTTTTGTCACTTTTGGCTGTGTTTATGCTGATCCAGTCTGTTTCTTTAATCTTCTGTGTTCCACAACACTTCATTCACTTACTTTTCCCTCAGGCCTTGGCTATATATCTCATCTCAGTTTGTGTCTCCTCTCTCCTTCATATTTTTTAAAGATCTGTGATGTCATTTCTAAATGGGAACAAGCCTTAAAAGAATTGCACCCTGGGAAATACGAAGGTGGCACAAGAATTGTGAAGTTGACCTATAAGAACAGGTACTGTTGTTTGTTAGGTGGCCTCACTACTGCTGTTAATAAAATATTCTAGACTGCATATATCTCTGTAGATGACCAGTAAACTTATAGTATCGTTAGTGCCAAAACTATTTTAGCTAAGATGCATTTAAAACCTACATGAGATGTGATGACTTTTGTGTGTTACATATACAAAAGCTTATGGCCTAGAGGTAAAACCCAAACCACTTTGCAATAGCAGAATAGACTTAAAAAGAGTTAAGAACTGGCTCTAGTACAATAAGACATACTTGGACAATTTAATTTGCCTAGATCCTAAAACATAATTAAATAATGTGAGAGACCTAGAGGAAAAATCACTAGTGAAAACAAATATGCTGAAACTTACAATTAAGTGAACAATCACAAAGATTAAAAAGATACAAGAACAATGTTCTAAATCACATGAGTTGTAGAAGAGATGCAGTAGCAGTGCCCAAACTTTATGAAGAAAGAAATGTTAAAAGTTAGATGATGAAAGACGGTAGAGAAGCAAAGTACAAGATAAAGATCTAAATAAAAAACTGGAACAAGTTCATCACTTCTAATACAGACAAGAATTCTGAATTACACTGAATCAAGAGCTGTACGAGAACAAGGAATGGCGTTCCGCATTTGAATTCTCTGTGCAGGCAAAACAAAGGCTACTCCAAAACTGAAAAGAGACAAAGTTCTGTATTGAACATATGAAGATTTTGTTGACTGTAATAGTGGAAAAAACTTCTGTCAACTTTGTTAGTTGGTATAATAGAGGTGGAAGCAGAAATTACTGCTTTTGACCTTGAAGGCAGTATTTGTTTCAGGCGTGAAACAAATATTATTTTGTTGGACTGGAATGTGCCCAGACTGGACGGCAAGGATGTTTTGATAAGGTATTTCCAAGGTTGGGCTGTTCTAACACCAAAGACTCTGATAAGAAATGTGTCAGGTCAATATGGTCCTAATGGTGTTGTTAATCTCAAAGTGACATAAAAATAAACAAACTGATCCACTGGAATTAATATCTCATGCAGTATTTGTGGAATAGATAGCCATAGATGCAGCTTTACATTAATATTTGAATTAGGTGGTATGCACTGTAAGTTGGCATGCATAAGGAATGGTTCTGGGAAGCATTCTCCAAACTGGTGTCTTAACCCCCATTAGTAATCTTGCTATACCACATCAAAAAAATTGCAAGTGTGGATGGAATAAAAAATAGTAGGAAACTCTGATGTACAAGCATGTTTCTTTAAGTTTTGAAATAAAGCCTGCTGAGTCTCTTATTTCCTGCTGAAGCAAACTGAAGACTTTTTTAATAAGTCTTCAGTGTAAGTGGTCAAATCCAAGGTGGCAACTCTACAAGGCTGTCTTGTAGAAACTTATACATGTAGAGCAGAGGTAGTTCTCTTTTCTGTGATAAGCACAGAAGGCCATAACTTAAAGACTGCCTGTCTGTGCTTGATGGGGACCAATGGACACTGGTTTAGCTGTGTTTAATAAGGGTTCACTGTCTAGAAGTGGTTGGCTTACAGAATTCAAAGAGCTTCGAAAGCTAGAAAGGCTGTTTCAAGCCTCCTTGCCCAAATTTTGCTCATAATGTAAGCATCTCAGCTTCCAAATCTGTCCAGTACCCCCTCAATAAAAAAAAGAATAACCCACTTTTATTTTGCCTCACCTTGATTAAAGTTCCCAGCTGTACTTTCAGTTCACTATGTCACTTTTTACCTTTACAATCATCTCTACTTTTTAGACTATATTTTCGGAGCCAGGCCAAAGGTGAGACAGACCGTGAGCGGTTGCTACTGGCCTTCCAAGTCAGCAATGAAATAGCCAATGGAAGGTTTCCTGTTAATAAGGAATTAGCTCTGGAAATGGTGGCTCTGATGGCTCAGGTGAGTATGGCTGTGGGCAGAAATTCTCTCTTTTGTCTTCCTTCAGCTGTACACTGAGTGTCTTTGACTAAGCAGCTACCTTTTACATCGAAAGTGCTTCTTCTTACCACACATACAGAGATGCACCATGCCAAATACATTATACCATTATGCATATGTTAGAACACCTTTTGCTGTAGGGAAATTTGCTCTAGGAGTGCCTGTCCTTTACTTCTCAAGAAAAATATTGGAAAAAACCAGCGAGGCTGGAATATCACCTAAACTTCTCCAATCAGTACCTTAGCAGAGATCTGGAAATAGTACCACTACTGGAATACCACTGCTAGAATTCCATTAAGAGTAAAAACTTTCCCTGTTGCACTGCCAATACCTCTTACTCAGGATGAGCATGTTGTAGGATCCTCCATTAGACCTCCAGGTTTGCATTTAGCATTTTACCACATAAAACACACAATGTGGGTTGTGGCCATGATAAGCAGGATAATAATTCCTTACTGAGCTGAAACTGATTGTTGTATTTGTTGAAGCAGTGTAAACTGAGATGAATAACCTGGGCATGTGGTCCAAATATGCTGTTGTTTTTAACAGTTGAAATTAACCCCCAAAGCCTGGCAGTTATACAGATGTGTCTCCTTACAAGTATCTGGCTGAGATCTTGTTTCACTTTCTTAGATCAGTAAATAATTCCTTGAGCAGTCATGTTCTCAGTAGTTCTCTTTTGTATATATTTACTATGGTAAATCTGTAAACAAAATTCCCCAGCCTGTGTCATTTTGCATGACTAATAAACACAGTAGTTATTGGTATGGGAATTCATGGAATGTTCTAGTGCATTAAAAACACCATAGTTCTGTTGCACTATAAATAATAATGTTGTCTTAGGTGGAATATGGGGATTTGGATCGATCAGGATCTTCAAGTCCTGGGGGAACATCACAATTAAAAATGCAGCATCTTCTCCATCAGGTCTTAGATAAATTCTACCCCAAACACTACAAGCAAAACATTACTCCTGAACAACTCAGGTAAATTGTTGGTTCTTCAAAACTTTGCACTGAAAACAGCTTTTACTTGCAAAATTCTGTCTTATATTTAAGTAGTTTCAAGGAGCCCTGTCAAGATTATTTGACATAGAAACTTAAACAAAACACAAGTGTCAGGAAAAGGTTCCCTTAAAAGAAAAACTAATATAAAAATAGCCAAATCACCAACTAATTTTCCCCTAGACAAGAAGTTTAGGTCTTTCACTTCCAAATTAGGGATCTCAGTTCCAACAAATTAACCTAAGCCTAGGATGAATTATCTTCCTGAGTTTTTGTTTTACCCTTTCCCCAAGTGTCAATTGAACCCAGATGCCTAACATTTGCAATGAGTCATAGTGCCAGCACATATGAGTTGCTTCAGGCCATGCAGTAGTTCTGGTAGGACATATTTTGGTAGGGCTTTTTGATGTTCTGACTTGGAAATTTTCACACACAATGCAGAGAGCTCAAGTACAGAATTCAGATGCTGCCACGGATCTCGGATTTTTCTGTTTTAAAGTGAGAGAATGGTTTTATTCCAGAACCCTAGCTACTTAGGAATGCAGTGGTGTAGCTAACACAGTTACCCCCTTTTGGGAGCAGATTCCATCTGCATGTAGCGAGGTAGCTGCCAAACCACCCTAGTGAGCCAAATCAAGAGTGAGTTAATATGTATTGCCATTCCATATAGAGCATACTACAACAGCAAGGTATGAGGAAGGCAAGAGTGTAACTGGATATGAAGACAAGCTCTGCAGGGTTTTACTGTAACACCTGACCCAGTGTTTGTAGTTACAGTTGTTTAATATATACACCAGTGAGCAACCCATATGTGAGTAGGATTCCTGGGCATTACAGTATAACTAGTAATAAAATAATTATGGAAGTAGAGAAAATGCTAAAATTAAACTCATGTTGTACAATCCTTTTAACTGATAGTGCTAACAGCCTTGTCTGTAAGAGCTGTGTAGAACAGCCCTTTGGGAATAAAGAGGTACATCTATTAACTGTTATAATTTTACACACCTTTCCTTGGAAAACATTAGTAAATAATACTATCTTGTATTTTGGATTCTGAAAGGCAACTGACAGACAGGCTGGCAATGAAGTGGATGGTGCTGCAGGGATGCTCTCCACCAGAATGCATTCGAATTTATTTGACAGTGGCCCGGAAGTGGCCTCTCTTTGGAACCAAAATATTTGCTGCTAAGGTAATTGGACCACACCTTTTTCTGTTGCCAAGAGTGAACTACCTGAGCAGAAATATACCTACAATCTCTGGTTACATGAGTTGAAAATGCTGCTACTTCAGGAAAGGAAAAAACTGCACAATACTCTGTTCTGAAGAAAAAGCTCTGGTATCACATAGGTTGAAAAAGAAGGCAGGCAAGTATGTTCTAAACGCTAGGGGTTGCTAGCGTTCAGTAAATAAATACTGAAGGTTCCGTGGCTGTGTCAGTTGATCGTGATACAGAGTGCTTACTACCTGTCCTTACCAACCTTGCCAAAGCTTGCTTAGGCAAGAATTTCCCTGGTCAGCACAGCTGCAGTGATAGTTTAAAAAATACTACTTACATACCACCATGGGGGTGGAAGGGAAGAGTCCCCCGTAAGTCACACCTGGCAGCTGATGCTAGCTATAAGGACAATGGGTATTTCAGTCCTGTTCTCTGCTTGACACAGAGCTGGATGCTTTCCTTGCCACATGAGAGAGCCAAACACTGGTAGTGTCCTGCTGCAGAAACAAAAGCTGAAGCATGTATTGGGTAAGCTGCCAGCCCACAGGCATCAGTAGGAGAGCAAAGAATATCTGGGGAGAATACTTCTCCCAGGAGCTTGTACCATCCCTCAGTCAATCTCAGGCTAGAGCTCTGTACCTATCACCCTTGCCTGAACTGATGTCTTAGCACATGATGGCTGTCTGAGAAATCTTATTTTGGCATTAACTATCTTCCCCATCCCAGCAGAAATTTCCCCTGCTGAAAGCTTGAGCTAGGTCTTCTTCATGGTTACATATCTCTTGCTTTGAAGTCAAAGCTGCTGTAGTTATGGAACAAAGTCTAAGAATGAAATGGACTTCTTGATTAAACATACAAAAAGTTTTTGAAAATATGATTATTTCCACTGTCAGGAGTAAAAGCAGAAGTAGTTACTGGTATTTGAAGTTATGGACGCTGAAGAATCAGAATATAGAATAGTTCCACCCACAGTTTAAATAATGTTGATATTTCTGACAATCAGCATATTTTATAACTTTTCAACAGTTAAGCAGCAAAGCCTATGGCAATAGCCATGTAGTTGCTGGTTCCTAGGAAAGATTTATGTCATTAGCCATCACAACTCATCTTTAACAGATAATTGATGCACATTTGTCTGTAAGACTCTGTAAGAAATGAAATTGCATTGATGTGATGGTACTGGGTGCACTGGTGTTACAGAAACCAACAGGCTTCACTGTCTGCCTGACTGACAGGAGCAGTATAAAAACATGTGCAGAGCAGAGCTGCATTTTATTGCTCTGTCCTAGCATTTCCTTCCATTTTAACTACACCAATGGAATCTAATTAATCTCAAAGCCTTTGTTATCCTTGTATCTCTTGTGCTACTACTCTGAAAATTGTATGTAAATCTGAAAATATTATTCCAAATTTTGAGAAAAGCCCTCTTAAAAATCAAACCAGGTCACACCAGTAAGCCTATAGGATTCTTTCTCATCATCACTTTATCCTTAAAATCCAACATTTATGTCAGAAAGATCATTCTGTGGTCATCAAGAAATACCTGAATTAATAATTTTCTTTCTGTCTAGCCTATTTTGCCTTCCTCATTGGAAGACTCTCCAGTCTGGATAGCTGTGAATGAAGATGGTATCAGCATACTGGATTATAACACAATGGTATGTTGAGAAAAATACCTTACCCTGCCCCGGAAAGACATTCCCGAGTCCACTGAAAGTCACTAAAAGTTTGTCTTTAACTTCAAATGGATCCAGAAGTTAATTTGTAAAAGTCAGATGATGGAAGTCAGTGCTATGTTTGAACACTGCATAGACAAAGGAAAATTACAGCTGCAGTGTAAGGTAGGCTAGCAAACATGCTCATACATCTTTGCAAAATCTCAGTAATGTGGGTTTTACTACCACCATCTGGGTATAACAAAATTTGGACTATGAAGCAATGAGGCATCAAGCAAGCCAGGAGAAAACCAGAAATGCAATTGTTACTTGAGCTTTTTCTGCCAGCTGTTACCTATAGAGCCTGTAGTGCCTGTTACTGCTGGAGATCTGGTGTTCTTGCAGGAAGCAGCAATATAAATTAATATATTATTATAAGATGGGCATTTTGGTCTTTTTACAGAACTATGACTTTTTCAAATTCTCTATCTGCAGCATTTGAAGGTCTCTTATTCATACTCCTCTGTGCTGACCTTTGGAGGCTGTCGAGATGACTTCATGATTGTAGTCAGTCAAACAAAAGAAAACAGTTCTGGAAAAAACAGCACTGAAAAACTCCTCTTCACAATGGCAGTTCCTAAGGTAATTACAAAATGAAAAGCGAGATTCTTTCCAGCTGGCAGCATCAAAGCTGGGTGTTTTGTATAAGCCCTGAGGACTGGTACTTGTGAGTGCTGCACTAGCTATACACATTCAACAAATCCCTTGTAAGATGGAACCTTTGACCACGAGACTTATTTTACCTAACTCTTACAGACAGATTTTCATTTCAAAACTGAATAATTCCATGCGAGAAAGCCATTTATAAAAGTTAGACAGTCAAATAGGTTCTAAAAATCAAAGGGCACTTTTACCTCTAGTTGACTTACAGTTAATCATTTTCTTTTTTCCCCAGATTGTTGAAGCAACACTTCTTATTGCCAGCTACATTAACTACCGCTCGTCACCTTCACTCCTGTCTTCTACACAGCCCTCCCAAAGCAAAACACCTGCTAAGAAGCTCTGGGAGATTGAAAATCGGTGCTTTTTTCCTTCCATGCCCCGAAGCACTAAGGGGCCCACCCTGCTCTGAGGGCTCATTCCAAATGAGCTATGGTTCTTCTGGTTACACACCACTGCTTTAATGTGGACTCTGATTCTTTTTCCATAATAATAGACAAAGTTCCTTAGAGGTAGAGGCAGTGTCCTTTCTCTTTGGGGGGCGGGGGAAGTTATTTTGGGGGACTGTGCAGGAGTTTCCTTTCCATGACACACTCCATCCAAAATACCATGCCTCAGGTTGTTTACCTGCACAGTGCTCCAGTCACATTACATCTGCTCTCTTTCCTTACACTGATTATTCCATCTTGTACCTTTCTGCTTTGCTTTAGAAACACATACATTTTCTTTGATCCCTCACATTTGCAGCTTGCAGAAGACAGAAACTTTCCAAGTCCTTGCTCCAGACATGAAAAAAGACATTATTGAGAAAGAAGAGGAACTAAACTGACAAGAATAATTCCAATGCAAGTCAGGGGTGATTTTAGACCTGAAATAGGGGGTATAGAATTAGAGTTCAGTAGTACTTAAGAATGTTTTCAACTTTAAATGAAAGTGGAATCCTAGTGTCTTTAGATGTTGAGGACTCAGAACAACTGAGACTAGAACAGCGTCAGAGCATGTCAGCTCCTGCAGGACTGATGCATTTCAGAAGCTGACACTGTTCTATGCAATAGATGAACATTACATTGATGCTGCAGGGCTGAATGTGTCCCATGCTCCACTGTCAGACAAGCACTTTCAAAGACTTTCTGCTAATCACTGTTGTAGATGTGTTTGAAACTGCGCATTATCTCAGACAAGGGAAGACAAGACAAGCAAATTTTGTACTTTTTCTGTCTTTCAGCAACTAGAAAAGATCTTGTTCCCAAATAAGGTCTGCCATTCTGACTTGACAGAAGCTGCTCCTTTCAAACTCCTGCTTCCTTCATGCTACTATAAGCAAGGAGGAGGTAGTCAGCAAATGTGTACTCAAGTACTGCTCTTCTGACTTTCCTAAAGAATTGTGGTAGATTTAATTTTTTATCTGTTTCAAAGGGACTTTGTTTTGAGAAGGTTATTGAAGTTTAAACAAGTAAAAGAAAAATAGCAATTCTTCATGAAAAATCTAAATCTACATAGCTTGAGTTCAGCTCTTTTGATAAGCATTCTAAAAAAGCTAAGGAAAAATAACTGAACTTTCAAAAGTACCATGTGCAACTTCATAATAATTATGCATTCCTGGGCAACTTTCCCAAATTAAAACAGTGTGAACCCAACCACTAGAATGAATTCAGTAATAGCAAACCAAAGCTATGAACAAAGCAAATGAACAAACCAACCATACCAGTGTTTTTAGTACCTGCCACCAACCTTGAAACATCCAACTAATGCACACAAGGGAGCTGATACATCAAGCTGATACATTTTTGTTTCATGCTTAGGTGGGGGCAAAGCCACAAATCAGGAGTATGGGACAGACAAAAATTGCTCTTTGTAATACAAAGCAAAAAAAAATAAAAATCCCCAAACAAACAAAAACCCAACCCCAAACCACCCCATGGTGGGTTATGGAAACACTATGGCAAACATAAGACAGGAAAAGACTGTATGAACAGTGACCTGATTTGCACATACTGTAATGTAGCCACTTGTTATGAATTTAAAGACCATCCCTTGAAGGTACAGAAGAGGGTAGCTTTCTGAGCCAAAAATAATTTTGAGAAGGTATTTAGTCTTTTTTGTTTTCCCTTTGATACTTTTAAGCGACTATGTATCCTGATAGTAGTTTGTATTTCCTCTCTCTCTCTCACACACACACACACACACAGAGGGATCTCAGTATAGTTATGTCAGTTTGAATACATGAAGTATTACTCTTCCTCACTCAATCACCTCTGCCTAACAGGTTCTCCTGTATCTGAAGGTCTGTTTGGCAGCCTGCTTCTGGAATCCCACCAGTGACAAAGCTGCTTTAGAATAGGCTGAAGCCATGGGATGTCCCAGCTGTCATCAGCCCTGGAGATGCTCAAGGCATAGAAGTCTCCAGTTCACAGTTCAGAGGCTGTATTTCCTTATAGTGTTAACACTCATGTCCTCAGAGACTTGTACCAGGGTAAACAGGAAGCAGAGATGTTAAATAAACAGGAGCTGTCCTGAAGCTCATTATTTTCTGCCATAACTGCACTTTAAACTGAGAAGCATGACACATAGAACTTCTTTTCCTTCCTTATTTCTTAAAAATATTCACGAATACTTGAGTATTTCAGGGACCACCCCACTCTGATGGATGCACACACTCCTCCTATTTATAGCTTACCTGTCTTCAAACAACCAACCAACCCTGTGGAGATATCTGTTTTGTATGATTCTTTGGTAGAGAAAACAGTTTTTTATTTTAATCAATGGTTTTGTCTATTGATGCAGCATAGAATGAGACGACAAAAGCCTTTGTTTTCCTAACTGCTGTGTGTATATAGAAGGCTGCCTGGAATATACTGTGAGATTTCTGTTTGTTCTTAATAAAATGCAGCTATCATGAATTAAACTGTATTATTCTCACAATGAAAGAAACTATTTTAAAAGCCAAAATATTCTCAATGTAAACAAAAATGAACAAAGATTGTGTTTGGTATCCAGGCACATACCTAGTGCAAACCTGCCCCAGTCTGATTCTTGTTTCTCTCTGCTGATTTCTCAGCTTCAGTGGATGACTAAACTATGGGCACAGGATGTTCACTCCTTCAAAAGATTGCTAAAGCAATCTTTCAGACTTCCTCCTGTGACACAGCTTCTTGGTAATTTCTTCAGTGCACATTCTGAGGACTTCATGGGATTTTTATAGCATAGTCAGCATTCACTGCACACTCTTAAGCCTAAGACTCTGGTCATTCTGTTGAGACATCATTTATTTTCTGACACAAAAGCCAGTGGCACATCGCCAAGCTGCTGCCTTTCACTTGGACAACCAGAATACCTCCTGTGACATGAGCTAACCTGTGTCTTTCAAACTTCATGGCACCACGAGAAAAAACCAAATCACCTTATCTCTACCCTATTGCATGATGGTATGTTGACACATGCTTTTATTTACAGATAATGCAGACAAGCACAATACAGCATTGTATGCAAATGAAGCATGACCCCAGGCTCCTGCCAACTTGTGGGTTTAGATCAGTTATATTTCTAAGGAGTCATGGGGAAAAAAAAAAAAAGAGAAAAATACCAGTTAAGGGTTACAGTGACTTTTAGCTTATCAACAAAGAAGAATTTCCCAACTTTAAGTTACTCCCAAGAGCACAGATCAATAAAGCTTTATTCACATTGTCGTTACCATGATTTTCTACATCTGCCTCCAAGCTGCCTCATATTCTTGGAGTAATTGATGTGGCCCTTTTAATGCCACATCTTTTCCATGTTCTGTGTCACCGGGTCCCTGTCCCATTCAGCAATGGGTTCACATTTTCCCTGTACTCCTTTTGATACTTAAGTACTTACTGAAGCCATCCTTGCTGCTTTTGACATCCCTCAACAGATTCATCCCCAGACAGTCTTAACCACATCTTGAACAGTGTTGCTGTATTCCTCCTAAGTTACCTGTCCCTAATTCCACATTCTGTATACTTCCTTTTTGTGTTCAAGTTTTGCCAGGAGCAACTTGCTCATCCATGCAGGCTTCCTGGCATTTCTGCTCGACTTCCTGCTCATTGGGATGGATTGTTCTTGAGCTTAGAAGAAATGATCCTTAATTATCAGTCAGCTTTCTTGGACCCCTCTTGCCTCTAGGGCCCCATCCCATGGGACTCTTTCAAGCAGATCCCTGAAGAGGTAAGTCTGCTCTTTTATGTTTATTTCATTAAACGTAACTGAATCCAACAGTATGTTTTCATTTTCTGTAATTGTCCTTATGAAATTCTCCTGTGATCAGGAATTTTCCATCTCAGTCTACACAACAGCTTTGGTATTTAGAGTGGTTTTTTCAAACAAAGGGTTAAATAGGAACCAAAGAATGCATATTTTTGGCAGTCCAGCCAAAGTTACATTATGATTTTAGCATAATTTTCAGATGTACAAAAAAGTAAACAATCAATGCATTTTTTTGTCTCCCTCTGCCCTATTTCTCTGTAAGTCTTTTCTGTCTAAGCCTAAAAAGTTCTGCTCACCTGTCTTCAAAGCAGAGGATTTCAAGGTTCACTTCTGTGCTTGAGCTGACATTTTCTCTAACAATTCTATGAAGCAGTGCAGGCCTTTAGCCCTAACATCACTGCACCACTTTCTACTCATCTAATAAATGAAAGCCATGGGGTGGTTTTGCTTGCTTTTCCATGGGTCCCTCTGAGTTCTGCTGGAAGTCTGCTGCCTTGTTTGGTTTTTTTTTCAGCTATTTTATTCCACTTGACTGTGGAGCTGTCTTCCTCTGCTCCAGGATTTCTTGACAACTTTTATACACTTCTATCAAGCAGTCCAGACGCGGCTTGGAGCTCTAGAAGTCAAACAACAGAGAATCAGGTTCTAGACTGGCTGTAAAAGAACAGGAAAGCTTGTAACTTCCCACTAGTGAGACAGGCAGAGGTAGGAATGCAGAGACAGCCGACAAAGCTAGCAGAAGTGTGTATGTGTAAGGAGTGCAACAGTAAGACACCTGTAGCTCGTGAGCTTTCTCACATCGAGTCAATGGAGACAGGTACATGTTCATTGAGAAATAATCCAGACTCCAGGAGGTGTCTGATGTAAGCTGGTGATATAGGAACGCAGTCATTCCATAAGCCATACCTGCTCTGTGATGACAAACACCAGTCCCTAAAGTTGTCAGGTCAAGACATGCAGCACCATTCTGCAGTTAGCCTGAATCTCTCACCAAATCTGAAAGCCACTCCTTTCTCAGCTCACAGTTAACAGTGACAGCATGGAAGAACATCCACACTTTCCCACCCATGACCCTACTTGTTAGGCCATACTCCCTCTAGAGACTAATGAACAGCAGATTTCCATACACTGGATCTACCATCCTAGAAGACCTCCCCCCTGAAAAATCCACCTTCAGGACAGGGAGTTTAGACATCTGACCCTTGGCCTCTGCTAGTACTGTGAACATAAGGACAATGGAAGGTTAACTGAAAACATCAATTAATTTTACACAAACAGCAAGTGGTGGTCAAAGGATAATAATTTTTCATCAATTCTAAACTGCACTAGATTAAAACCAGCAAGGAGGTGAAAGTTTCACAGTTCCACAGTCCCTATGGTCCCATGACTTCAGAGCTCCCTAAACAGCATTACTGTGTAAAGTCCATCAAATGCCTCCTTGCAAGTGTTTCTTAAGAGAACAAAAGGTCAATTCAGTGCAGAAGGGCCCTGGGCTCAGTGACACGGGAAACTGTATTTTTGAAGGCTGACATAACTTACATGAACCTAATGAGGGTGACACAATACAGCCAAATAATCATTGCTTCTTCAAAACTAAGTAACATACTAACTTGCACATTAAAGTAAGAATTACAGACAGGTACTGACTCGCAAACTACCACAGTTCTGTACCTCCTTTGCTGGTGGAGTCAACTCTAGCAATACTAAGATGTTTCCAGGAAAATAAAACTGTTCAGAGTTGAGATAAAAAAAAAGAAACTATACAGATGCCAGGTAGCCTCTCTGAAGCTGGAAATGAGCATATTTAAAATCAGGTTCCTGAATGCAGCTCTCTAGAATTTATTTGTTGTTGATTTCCAGCAAATCCCTTCTTTCCCTTGTTTATGTGTGAAATATTTAATTTATATTACTCTTAGTAATATAGTCTTTACAATTGTGGGACTGAGTTAGCAGTAAGAATCAATGGAATAGCCTATTTATACCTCTAAGTTTTTAGAAGAAGACTAACTGTATCCAATCATAAACTGTATGTAGATTACAAAATGATAGTCACTAACAGCAGATTAATTAAGGACAGAGAGGGCTATACAGCTCAGTGGTCTAAAAAGTGAGGTGCCTCTGTACTGCTTACCACCACTCATGGTTCAGGGCATTCTTGTGTTAGGCATGAACACACGGAGAGAAATTCCATCCCAAAAATGGGATTATGAACAGTCAGAATAAGTTAGCAAGAGAAGAGAAAGGGGAAACGGGGTAATGGTAACACAAACAAGTTATTATACATTAAGCAAATTGGTCACAGCTTGTCCTGTGATCTTTGTCAATGTATAAGAGAGGGGAAGTCATTCCAATGCCAAGGAGGCTTTATGAACACTTTTGGCACACCGAGCTGAGAGAAAAATCAACTGCAGCTCAGTGCCATAGGCCAATCGGTGGGATGAAGATCGTAGCAAAAAGCACCATACTATTCTGTAACACAAGCCAAACAAAGGCAGCCAAACACAAGCCAAACAATTGCAATTGGTCTTGCAATTATTTGAACACGGCTTTAGAGAAAGTAAAATTAAAATTGCACAGTAAATTATAAAAGAATAAAGGATGGTAACACTGAGCACAGGACTACACAGAAAGCTGTACGAGTCCTCAGTACCCTACATGAGCCAAAGACTTTTAGTTCATGCAAACTCCTGGCTGGGTTCAGATTGACACAACTCCCTGTTCTTTGAATGGAGAGCAAATGAAAAAAACATCCCCAGTACACAGTTCTATGAGGCTTCTAATACCACCCACCCCAACACAGCCCAGCCAGGGAAAGGCAACTGTAATCAGTTATCTGTAGTGGAATAAAGATATGCTTGGACAACTGGTGTGCACACACAGACCACAGATCTGGATTTTCCCACCAGTCAGTCAAACTCACCTGAAAGAGTGGCACGACCTCAGATACTCCCTGAGGATCTTCAGGGTCCTGGAGGAGGATACACAGGTAGTAGATAACTTTTTGCTACAAGACAAACAGACACAATCATTGGAGTTTGAAAAAGCTATCAAACTGCCTGGAGTTAGCACAGAAAGAGGAACTGTTTCAACTCACTGGGCTGAAAGCCAACCATCCCAGGCCACAGTCAAGTCTACCAATTTATATCTATAGCTTTCACACAATAAACAAATAACTTTACCTGTGTTTTTTTTTCTATTAAATTTTTAACCTGAAAAGAACACGCATATGCTAGAAGGGTAAGGTCTGTTCTTCTACAGGAGCTTTGCAGAAAACCCCAGCAATGGGAAAAATCATCATTTGTGTCTTCTACCTCCTCATCTCTGTCCTGACTACATACAGAGTTGGCCATCAGGATTTGTGAGAACAGCATAACGTAAAGAACTAAAATCATTAGCTCAATGTCAGTGGCATTGTCTAAGGGATGGATTCGGCTTTTTGAGGTTTTTCCTTTTGTTTGAGTTCTCCTTTAGAAGTGAGAGAACAGATCAGAAAATAAAGAGGGAAATCTGAAACAAAGCTCCTGATGTCAGTAAAGCTATGGATGGTGCTGTGTTTAATTGCTCTGGTAAACCATGCTCATGAAAACACAATGGATGTGAGTGTGCCTACAGAGACAAGAAGAAAGGCTGTGTATCATTACCATATGGATGGCTTCGTTGATAACCACATCCTTCACCTGACCCATCTCAATGAAGGTTGTGCTCTCTTTTCCTGAAGCGTAGGATGAAGTCACCTGAATACCGAGTGAGCCAATGACCAACAGGGATTCCTGGTCAATTTTGATGAAGTGCAGGTATATGATCAGGCCAATCAGTGAGATGAAGATTGCGGCAGAAAGCACCACACTATTCTGTAACACAAGCCAAGCAAAGGCAGAGCTCTGGTCTTACAATTAATTGAACATAGCTTTAGAGAAAGTAGAATTGCATAGTAAATTAAAACATTAAAGCTACAGTTAAAAAGCAATTTTAAGTGGAGTCAGCCCTTTTATTCACTGGGCTGGCTGACACATGTAATGAGATTTAAATCAGTCTTCACAGTATGGACTGAAAGAATTGGGAATTGAAACTGCAAGAAAATTCTATTCTCTCGTAAATTTAGTGCAGAAATCTCAACTAACACAAGCTAGTTATATGAATGACTGCATATAATACCAATGTCTATAGGGATGATGTCATTGACAAAGAAGTGTTGTGAGAGAACCGAAAGTGGATTCTCAAAGGGGAAGAACCTTCCTCCAGGAAAAACCACTGGCCTGGTGGTTTTCTTATGAACTCCAAGTCTAAACTTGTTCAAACCTCACTCTCTTCCTGCCTTAAACACCAATCTAAAGAACATTTCCACTCCCCTGTTCTTTGTCTCAGGGCAAATGTCTTTTTTGCATGCTCCAATCTCGGGATTGCTGCTACATTTTAATATATAACTGATGAAACTATAGTCACCAGTAAGTCATCTGAAGACTTTGTAATAAATTCTCAAGGTCTGCAACCTACAATCTATTTCTGGGACATGTTTTAGAGAGCTCCAGGCCACATATATATGAATCGAAGTTCTAACTGACACTTTCTGAAGGCCCAGAACTGCACAGCCCTACCACTCAAGCTGGGCCTGGGCCACTATGTGAGCTAAGGAAGCCATGGCTTTGGAAAACATACAGGACTCCAAAAGTTTGTTATCATGGAAAAAAAACCCGTCCTGAACTACAGACACCAAAATCCACACAAAGAGAGAGACACCTTCAGACTTTCTGATCTGGTTCCTAATGAAAAGAAGAATTGCAGTCACTTGCATATAGGCTGCATGAGCATGTCTTCAGCCAAGCAGGAGGAGACTGGGTGGTAATCACTGGCTGAGGTGTATGCTTTTGTAAAATATGAAACTGGAACAGAGATTCTCTTCCAGGAAGAGGAACACAAACCATCTTTTCATATCTGATGCCTGCTAACTGACTCACATTGCAATCTCTGTCTTCATTGCTTGGGAAAGATTACTGAAAAAATGTGCAACAGTTGAAGCACAGGTCAAAGTGACCAACTTCTCTGGTCAAGCTACCGACTTCAGTCTGGAGATAACTGGTCTGGGTCCAGTTTTTGATAATTCCAAAGGTATTAGCTCATATATCAGCAGCTTTTGAAATCTGTACTGCCAACATCTTTCCCTCAGCTGTGAAATGTGATGACATTCACGGTGCAGTGCTCTCTGAGTCACTCTGGAAAATTCCTTTTGAGAACTAACAATCACCTTCTTCAATACATCCTTTATTCCAGATTCCCAGAACTTGTTTGTTCAAATAGCCATTACTTGTTACGTGGACTCACACGCATGCGCCAGGCATCACTCCGCACCCATTCGGACATGTACCCTGTCTGTCAAGAGGCTACAAACCAAGAGAGGCACTCGAGAAGCCCCTAGAGGCTGGCGAGTGGCAGCCCGCGGTCCTCAGGCTGGCAACACCTCTCTCTTTTTCATCACGCAAGCATCACACCAGGCGTTCCCAGGGCGCGGGGGAATGCCCCGGAAACGCGATGACCGCGTTCCCACCTCTCTGGCCGCCCTCCATCTTCCGGGCGCCGCTCGGCGAAGGCTGCGCGGCTCCCCCAGCCCGGCGGGATCTGGGGACACGCGCGGCCGCCGAGGCCCCCGGGTGCCCCTGACCGCCCCGGTGTGCCAGCGGGACGGCGGCTCCGGGGTGCAGCCGGGTCAGCGCTCGGTGCCTGATCCGCGGAGGGGTCCGAGGGCGGCGAGCAGGGGTCGGTACCTCGCTTAGCGCGAAGAGCCCGTAGGCCGCCAGCCAGACGGCGGAGGTGGCGGCGCTGAGCGAGCGGAGCTGCAGGCGGGGCCCGCGCACGGCCAGCTCCCGGCAGGACGCGCTGTGCTGGCGGCGCCGCAGTGCGATGGGCGCCCCACAGGCCGAGCGGAACCGCCGCTCCTCCGCCATGGCGGGAAGGCGGAGCCGCCGCCGTGGCCCCAGAGCGGCGGGCGGGGCCGATCCCGCCGGGCCTGGCCCCGCGGCGTTACCGCGGCCGTGCGGGAGGAGCCTGAGCCGAGGGAAGCCCTGCAGGCCCGGCGCTCTCTCCCCGGCCGCCTCCCGAGCAGCGCCCGCCCCGCCGCGCCCGGCCCCCCTCTGCCTGCAGGGTGGTGGAGGGTTTGTCTCGGTTGGTTGAGCCTCGCTAGGCGTCTTTCCTTAATCCCGATGACATCAGAAGTTTCCGCGCTTTGCACATGTTGATAATTCACTGTCCGCTTCCCTCTGTTTTTTGAATATCAGTTTTAAAGGACGCAGGTTTTAGTGGTGCTTTGTGTGTCTCTTGCCGCGATGAAGAGATGGAGGCTTTCATAGAATCATAGAATGTTAAAGGGTTGGAATGGACCTTAAAGATCATGGAGTTCCAACCCTCCTGCCATGAGCAGGAACACTTTTCACTAGCCCAGGTTGCTCAGGGTCTTTTCTACTCTGGCCTTGGAACATTGCCAGGGATGTGGCTTCCACAACCTCCCCAGGAAACCTGTTCCAGTGTCTCACCACCCCCACAGTAAAAAATTTCTTCCTAATATCTAACCTAAATTTCCCCTTTTGAGATTTGTACCCATTACTCCTTGTCCTATCACTACAGTTCCTGACAGCGTCCCTCTCCAGCTTCCCTATAGGCCTGCTTCAGATACTGGAAAGTTGCTACAAGGTTTCCTCACAACCTTCTCCAGAAGATTCTCTTTCCCCCATTCATCTTTACCATTTGTGACTACGTAAATGTATTTTCTTGTCTGTACCATGCTTAGCTACAAGCTCTTTTGAGTGGTTTTTTTTTGTAATTTTTTTTCAAAGTTTAAAGCAGTGTTTTCTGGTTCCTTGCCAAGTACATAATGAATTGGAGACTTGGCTGAGACTTAATGAGTCTTTGTATTGTGTTCTCTATAATGCATTTCAGTTATTACTTCATGTGACTTACCTGGCAGTGATATAAAGCTACACCTCTGTAACTTCCAAACTGCCATCCTGACTCCCTTGGTCTTTTTATTATTTCCCTTCTCTCACGGTTTTGGAGTGAGTCTTAGCTTTAATTGCAGGTGCCATCTTTCTGTGAGCAATTTTCTTCATTCTCAGTATCTTCAGAGATCTTCGGTAGATACTATATATATAAACCTATTAACTTGTTCTTGTAGGGGCAGCAGAGGAGTCTTTAACAGACATGAGAAACCAAGGGGCATTGAAGAATTACTACCAAGGTCTTTGTTTGGTCTGGAGGAGTGGGTGATGGTTGGCATTAGTGGGGTACTCATGCCGTATGTCCAGGATCTCACTGTGACACAACAGACCAGGTGGAAGGATGGGCTGGAACTCTGAAGAGGAAAGGTGAACTGACCTGGAGGGGGAAAAAATAACAGCAGGCAATTAACTGCAGAAATGAAGGAGAAAATGTTGAAGTTCAAAAGAGGGTGAAAGAAGTTGATGGATGGAGTGAAAGGGGAAAAAAGTAATAAATTGAAAACAGTGTTATAAGTTTTTAGAAGAGGGAAGAAAGATGAGAAAGACAAATAAATAAGCTCTGGTATGACAGCCTCAGAGATGGGGACAGGGAGAAGGGGAAAGAGAAATCAGAGTACACGGTAGAAGAGGTAAAAGCAGTGTGAAGAGCAAGGTCATTGATAGAAGGGAAAAGAAACATGAGCTCCTGGAGGAGTCGTAATTCTAATTCACAATACCGACAACACATGGGGAATTACTGAGATGCAGAGGCAGGGAGACGACTTGGAAATCTTAAGAGGAAAAAGCAAAAGTTTGCTTGGATTTTTTTTGTATCAGTGGCAAGTCCCAGTTTAACCACGTTTGTGCCCTGTCATCTCATGAACACTGTCAGCTTTTCTTTCAAGCGTGTACATAAGACTGCTCATTTGTCAGTGGGAGGCCTGTTGCCTTGTCAAAAAAGGGAAAAACAAGGGCCTTTACTCGTTTTGAAATATTTGTTAAGCATCCTTTGAATATGCCGTGAATAGGAACAGTTGGAGCTTTCAGACTTGAGAATCGTCTCAGGCCACGACCCCCCCGAGACGAGATACTCGAGGCAGGTGCTGGAGGGGTGGCTCTTCACTGTGTTATCAAGGTCATCAGATGAGGAGCGTCACCCCGGTTTTCCTTCAGTAAAGCCAGGGAGCAGCGTTCCCTCACGAATGCTCTCGGGAGTTCTGCGAGGCCGAGATCCCGCTTATCCTCCGAGCCCTCGCGGCGGGTGCCCCCTGCCCCGCTCCCTGCCCGTCCCCCCGCCAGCGCGAGGGGCGCCGCTATCGCACCTGCCCCACCGATGGGGCTGCGAGGGGAGCCAAAGGCACCGCCGCCCCGCGGGGGCCTGGAAGCCCTGCCCGCACCGGCAGCGGGATGAGGCGGCGGGGAGTGGAAAAACCCCGGGAGCAGCAGGAGGAGCAGCAGGAGGAGCAGGACGAGCCCCGTGCGCCGCGGAGGGGGGCGGGACACACCTCCGGGCGCGCGCGCTGCCGTTGGCCGGGCGGCGCGGGGGTGTGGGGGGCGGGGCCGCGGCGCGCGCGGAGCGGGGGGGGCTCGGTGAAAGGAGCGGCGCGCGAGCGGCGCGCGGCAGCATCGCCCGGCACCGGTGGGCAGCGCGCGCCATGTCCCTG